ACCGTATTACATAACGCTAACTCTAACCCTACTCAACCTAACCATTCCTAACTTGACATAACCTTAACTATACCCTCCCTAACTTACATAATCCTAACCTCTAACCCAACCTAGCCAAACCATTCTTATCCTGACATAACCTTAAATCTAACCTTACCTAACCTAATCATTCAACTCCTAACATAACCCTAACTCTATCCCAACTTAATCTAACAATTGTTAGCTTGACAAAATCCTAACTTCTAGCCCAAAGTGGCCTTGACCTGGGTTATATAGGACATAACCTTAGCCCAACCTAACCTATTCCTAAGTTAACTTAACGAGTCCCTAAAACGAACCTATCCTAACCATCCTAAACATCCCTAGCCTAACTTGGCTCCAACCCTAAAAGTACCTATCTTAACCTTACCATTCCTAATGGTCACGCAAGAAAATGTGTGTATCAAGTTGAAAAACATCCATTAATTTTTTTTTAAATTAGGACTGGGCTACTTACATTACAAAAAGGACTACTTACATTTTTTACCGTATCATGTTACCTAACAACCCGTCCCTCACACTAATTATTCCTAACCTGGCCTAGCCCAATCCATTCGGACTCACCGGCTACCAAGCAAACTTTATTAAACAAAAAAAATTTGATGGGCTGCTTTTTTGCATAAATTATTCATTTTAGCCTACAGAAAATTTTTCATGTAATTTTTAAATATAAGCGCGTCACTTCTTTCAAAATTAATAAGATTGAAAGCATGTTTGTGTGTTAAATTTTTGACTTTTAATAATAATTTCTTCGTTTTGGTCCTAGATAAAAAATCGGGCAATGAAAGAAAAATCACAAGGCTTAAGGAGGAAACTCTCGCGATCGGGAGTTATCAGAGGTTTTTAGGTGATTATGAGTTGGAGATATGTAATAGAGATGTCTCGAGATAAAAAAAATTTCCTAAAGCTGACGAATTGAGAGAGAAAAAATTATAAAAACTTGGTGAAAATTTCTCTCACGTCCAATGTTTTTACTCTGCGTTTGTTCGTTCTGACATCTCTATCAGCTTTTGTTAGATGTGCCCGAGGAGCAGGTTGTCAACGTCCAGGTGTACTTCGATACGTGAGGAATCAGAACTTACAAAACACACGTTGAATTTTACAACAAATATTTTGGTAAATCTATTTCAAATTGGTTGAAAGCCATCTTAACTAGAGTATAAGAGACATTGAGGATAGCGAAATGTCAAACGCGTCAGACAAACCAATCCATTGACTTTTGGCAGGAGAATATGATCGGTAATGATCCAGCAAACTAGTTGAAAGTGATTTTTATTATACGATAAGACACATTGAGGATGGGGAAATGTCAAACGCGTCAGGCAGACCAACCCAGCGAGTTTACGTAGGAGAAAATGATCGGTAATGATCAATCAACCTGTTTGAAAGGTATCTTTAGGAGAGGATAAGACATACGATGGCGAAATTTCATACGCGTCAGGCAGACTAATCCAGCAAGTTTGGGCAGGACAAAATGATCGGTAATGATCCATCAAACTAGTTGAGAGTCCTCTTTATTAGAGGATAAGACGTACTGATGATCGCGAAATGGTCCTTAAGAAATTCGAGGGCTAAAATAAAAAAATATTTTGGAGAGAAAAGAAGTAAAAATAATATTAAAAGGACCAAACCGTTGATACTCCTTACACTGGCTTGTTCCAACACAAAAACTAATTTCATGAAATTTTTAAAAAATACTGCCAATGTTAGGAAATTTTTTTTAGGGTCGTTTCTACCCTTTTCGTAGGATTAATATTATATATAGACCGATTTTTTGCATTTTACGATTTACGATAGTCGGCGGCTTTTTGACTTTATGCACTGCGACCAATATTTGTCTATTGTACAATATCCATTATTTCTAGAATCTTTGTTAATCTTAAGGTTTTTTATCAGATCTGAAAGCTTTGTTAAGGACTCCTGTGTGTCCAAGTTATGGCTTTTCCTCTATCAGGAGCCAGCATAAACCTTCCCACTAACAGAGGTCATGTTCTGCTTTTTCTTCTTCTTCTTCCTGGCAATACCGGCTTTGGTTCTGATGTCTCAAGTCTGTACTATGCCTCTGGAGTCTGCAGACTATCATTACTCATGTTGTAGGTATATTAGTTCAGCCGTTAGTTTCTGCCTTCAGGCCTGGACTTCTCCTCTTGCAGAAAGAGTAATCTCAGCCTGCCTTCCAACCAACAGAATATTCCGATGTTTCTTCTTCTTCTTGGCAATAGGAGCCTTTTTTCTGTTACCTCGAGTCTAAACGAATGCCTCCGGAGTCTGCCGTGTCCAGTCAGCAGTCCAACTCTCATTCCTAACACGTCCCAGGTTTAGACGTTCTGACGTTAGTTTCCTGGATTTGAGGGTTTATAAAACTGAGCAAGGATTATTGGTATGTTTGGCTGAAGCCCATACTTCCAGTCCCTAAGTCCCCATCAGCTTCACTAAGGTGTAATAAAGAAGTATTTTATTTTTCGTGAAATAGTCCAATATTGTGCCATAACTTGTGACTTTTGTATCATGTATGGTGATATTCCACACTTTGCCCGCAGTTGAGAGGGGGATATTGTTGAAGTAAACTGGGGTAGGGATCTTTTTGCGTAAAGTAAAGGTGATAAAAGTCACGAGTGGAAACGGCAGGATTAATTGAGAGAACTGTATCATCTGCTAAAGTCAAGGTGGTTGTTTGATGAATGGGATGTGTAGCTGAGTACAGCTGGTAAAGTGTGAAGGGCAAAACGCTACCTTGAAGAACACCTAGGCTAGGACAATACAAGATGGGAGCCTTCAATGACTAGAAAAACCGATAAGTAGATAGATTGGAAAGATGCCCTTAAGGATGAACCTCGTCATGAAAGACCCCAGAGTATTACTGCATCAACTCAAGTGGGGAATATAACTACAATACACATAATACAATCAAAGAAAATGAAAATATGCCAAGTAAGGATCAGGAAGGCTTCAAGACTACTAGGATCATTCATGGTAGGCTAGAAGTCGCATATGAGGCACTGAAAGCAGAAAAGGACACAAGAGGCTCATCGAATATAACAAACGAACAAACCTGGGCTATGGATAAACGAAGAAGATAAAAGAAGAGATTGAACCACAGCTTGAACAACTCGATTTTATAGCTCTGAGCTAGACTAATGTGACAGAATTGCTTCAAATCCAAACAGTTGAACCTGATGGAATTGGTGCGTTGCTGAAGTGTGTTGGTTTGCCCTTGAAGCTTCATCTCTTCAATACGTGTTGGGAAATTGAGATCCCTGAACCTTGAAGGAGACAGAGGTCATTTGTTTAAGAAAGATGCGAGGCATACAAAAATCGTAGTATAAGTCCCGAAGCAACTTAAGATCATATCTGAAGCAGTTTGGCTGAAAAGCAATATGGGATTAGAAAGAGCCGATCCTACAGTGATATTACAATTATGAGACACTCAAAAGTACCAAAAGGAGTAAAAGTGAACAGAAGCCTATTTGATATGGATATGAATGAAAGGATATTGGAGCATAACACATATCCCATAACAGTGATAAAGAAATGATATGTGAGGACTTGATTCATCATCAATACTGGAAAGAAATTAGTCCGACAAGGATGTTGTTTATCACCTGCCCTTCTTAACTGTGAACTAAGAGCTCCTGGCATCTTTACTAGAAATTAAGACGATGATGACGAAAAGTCAAATGCGTCTGAACGAGCAATCCGGCGATTATATTTATGTATTCAAAAACCAAAGTAATGGCCTCCTGAAGACACTTTACCTTTCTTGGCTGAGACCATTGACGTTGCCACAAACATTGAAACAAAGAATACGTGCACCATTTCGCGCAAAAGTACAAAAAAGGACCAAGCTCTTTACGGAGTGATAACATACGCAAGCAAATACCGGGAACGAGTCCTAGAAGAAATGAAATTCTTCCAAAATTTCACAGGAAATTCACAGGAATGTACATTAACGATGTCATGCAAAAGGAGGTAGGTAATATACTCAATGTTGGAGCGAATCAAAAGAAGGAAAAGAAGGCATTCCCAGGAGCTAATGAACCTAATGTTCGTCGAGTTAGGGGAGGTGAGGACAACAACAGTTGTCGTAAAATCAGGCTGCAAGCCTAATCCTGAAATGAAGAATAAAAAGAACAATATATATATAAATTACTGTTGTGAGAGTTCTTCGTGTGGTCTGGAGGTTCTACAGGTATTTTGGTCGTCACATATCATTTTGGTCTGCCTATCCTCGGTGGTCAATCTGACGCGTTCCGACATTTCGCCATCTTCAGTATGTTATTTAGTGCAGAGTAAGACTCTGAAGGTGGCGACATCAGACAGACCAACTAACCTAATTATTGCTATTCTTTATAATAGTGATCTGTTTCATATTATTTTATCATATTCTCTCATTATTTCAATAGCAACATATACCGCGAGAGTAAAAATGGATAAGATTTTGATGTTAGATTAATGAATCATAAAACTGGCTCAGTACTTCACTAATGACAACATATTTTATAATTAAGCTTGATGTTATTTATGCCTTTCAACTTCTTGCCTCATCTATTGAGCGCACTTTCATTGCGGCTGCGACATGCAAAACTGAACGAGAGGTATTTATTCGGAAGGAAAAGGTTATCAGACATCGTTCAAGCGTATCTAACGTGCAGAAGCCAAGTCATCGAGGACACTCGCTCTTTAAAAAGAGAGGTTTCTGGTTTCAAAAGACGAATTTCTATATTCAGTTCTCTCCCTCAGTAAATTGGTTTGCGTCCGGGCTCTGTGAGTAGTCCCTAATCTCTTCTCAATCTATACTAGGTTTAAGGTTTAACAAGGTTTGCGTTTTCATCACTGACGAAATGAAATGAAATACTAATTTACATTAATAATTTTTTTTCCTGGTAATTGATCTATTTATGGCTCTATCGCTTTAATTTATGCTTATTAATTATGTAACATGATGACTTTTTATGTTTCAGGTTCTGTTACTGGGGTTTGTCCTGGGTGTGTTGGCGTACCATGGGTCTGCAGATAGGAATGTACTGCAAAAGAGAGGAGTGGAAACGACGAGGAAGATAAACGGGCAACCGACGAGGCGGAGGACACGTCCCAACCATTCCGCTCCGCCATACGCGGTTCAGATGGAACCGCTTGTCAAATATTCACAAAGGGATCCTTTATACCACCAAAAAATAAATAACAATTCGATAGAAAGCACCTCCCGGGGTGACCATGAGCCAGAACCTAGCAATAACATTGCCGAGGTAGCGAGTCCGTACGGATATGAACAGCATCCGTACCATCCCCATTATTACCAAGAACCCGAGCCTATAATTGAAATCATAATAAAAGAGTCTAACGAAAGCCTGCCAGCGCCTACGCCACCTTCGACCCTTCCGCCTCCACCGTCGACAAAAGAACCGGTTCATGTATTTTACGTGAAATACAAGAAAAACCCTTATTCGACGGGCAAAGACGGAGAGGCGGACGTCATTTACGAAAAACCCGTACCGGCTCTGACTTCACATCAGAGTGATATAATCGAAGAGGACCATCATACACCCGTTCAGACTGAACCGCCGTCTTACAATTATGCGACGGCAGCGCTTCCTCCTAGCACGACACTCAGGACTATTATCAGGCCCGATTCCGAGATATACCATGGTTCTGGGCTGAAAGTAACTTTCGAAAATCCTAGTCATCATCAATATGACAGAAGTGAAGTTGAACTGGACGAGAGTGCGTCTGAGCCGGAGGTCGTCGCACCTGAACAAGACGAAGCGCAGAAACGAGACTCTGTTGAAATCCCTCAGAAGACACATCAGTACAAGAGACAGCAAGGACCGTACATCCCGCAATATCAACCTCAGCAACCGAGCGATCAACAGTATCACCAGCCACCACTTGCCCCTCAGCAGTTTGTAAATCCTCAAGCTAGACACCCAGGTGCTCAAGGAAGCGACGTCCGCCACCCTCCTCCATTCACGAGAGGAAACCACAAGCACTCTTTCCCTCAACAGCCTTCTAAGCCGACATTCCGTCCTCAGCACACCGCTGCAATATTCCAAAGACCTCAACAATTCCGAGAGTCCGTGAATCAAGGGCCTCCTCAGCATTTAGGGCCCAACCAGCACTCTTTAAACCATCAACCTCCAAACCAACCTCCTCAGCAACATTTTCCCGATTTAACACATAAATCGAGACCACAGCATCCTCCGCCACAGACCAATTTTAAACAAAATGGGCCACCTACGCTAAATTACCAGCCCAATAATTTCGCAGACAGCAATCAACAAAGGCAGCAGTTTCAGCCGACGTTAGCTGCCCAAATCGAACAATATCAGCAACATAAACAGTTTTTATACCAGCAGAATTTAAGACATCAAGCTCTTCAACAGCAACAAGAGCAACAACAAAATAGTCAATTAAATCATCGACCGAATCCTACACCTAGTAGACCTCCGACAAGTCAAACTCAAATCGAATATTCCCAGTATAAATCACAACAACCGATTCATGTGCAATCTTCGGTACAGTTTCAAAGAAATCAGCAACAATTCGTTCATCATCAAAAAGAAGCTTTGCCAAAACCTCAACAGTATACCTTCTCGCCTCAACAACAGCCCGTCCATAATGACGTTCACTCCAGTCCGAAGACGTCTTATGTAACTTTACCGCCGCAGTCTCAATCACACCCGTCATTCCAACCTCCCTTCAGCTCACCTTCTTCAAGCCAGCAACCTTCTTTCCAACAAAACGAACGGCCATCATTCTCTAACAGCCATCAAACAAATACTAAACCCCCTCCCTTCTCTCAAAATCAGCAGCCTGTTTTCGGGCAGAAACAGACATATTACCAGAACCACCAAAGCCAAGTTACTCAAAACAAAGACGTTCGTATTACAGAACAGAGCGGAAAGTCGTCGCCATCTTTCAGTGGAGGTGAAATTGTTAAATCGATTTCCCAGCTTGAAGCCCATCAGATTCAACCAGCGCAAAAACCATCAAATAAATTAAACTACAACCAGCACAAAGAAGAACAAACAATCAACGACTACAATCATAATTCCCAAATATTCACCAGTCCAGACAGTTTCAAAACACAACACCAACAGCAATCCAATCAGCAGGACTATAGGCTACAGGGAAGGTACAAACCCCAAGAAACCTACAGTTCCCAACAAAGCTACAAACCCCAAAGTAGCTACCAGCCTCAAGACAGCTACACACCACAACAAAGTCACCAAACACAAGAAAGGAATAAACCAGACAGCTACAAGCCCGAGAATCACAGATACCAACCAGTGTATACTTCCTCCACGCCGAAACCGAGACCGACCTTCACTTCAAGAACTAGTACAGCCGTTCCACATACAAAAAATAAAGTATTTTCTTTAGTTCCTTCAAGTACGGAGTCGACGGATTCGAACGAAGACGTTTATGAATCCTCGAAAGAAAAACAGCAAGAGCTGGCGAAGAAAGAAGACGAGAAGAAAAAGGCCAACCTCGCTGTGCTGCCCGATGAAGTTCCGGACGACCTCAGGCAACAGCTTCTTTCATCCGGTATTCTCGGAAATGCCGACATACAAATATTAGACTACGATAAAGTCGGTGATATCCCAATTGAAAGTCTGCCACCGGAAGCGTTGGAGAATTTTTACGGGGCCGCTAGCGATCCTGTTCCTTCCATTGTCAAACCTGACAGCCCTCCTTCTCAAAAACAAGTTGAAATGAAAGTTGTCCGATACGATCCGAACACTAAAGAAGGTCAGAGTGTTGCAGATACATACGTGAGAGAAGACGCGACGCAGTTGGACCCAGTCGTCCTCAACGACACGCGCTACAACAGATATTTACCGTTGAAAGTGAGTGGTACACAGTTTCCGATTCCAGATGTTCCTCAACTAAAAGGCCGGATCGTTAACAGTGTAGTAGTGCTCGCTCCTGTCGACTATGACTTTATACAGACGCAAGACCAGACGCCGGAGATCGACAGATCTGGAAAAGCCGTCCAAGTCCAGAGTGTGCGATTTCTCGCTGGAGACAGTCTTAAAACGGTTGTGAAAAGCCCAACAATGGAAAACTATAAAAACTGGCTTGAAAAGGAGAAAGAAACACCCACCGAAAAGCAATCTGTTGTACTTCTCGTCACCAGGTAACATAGGAATATTTTTATTTTATGCCTAATTTTTTTATCTATTTATTTTTTTATCTTATTTTATACTTGTACATATGATGTAAATATGCAACATATATACACAGCACATATACACAAATGTGATCACAAAACTTTTTTCACACGGCCACAGCACCAACACTAACGCCTGCGCTGCATCCTGAGGACATACGCCATTAGAAACCAGCCAATGTTGGTACTCGTCGTTAAGGCGACATGGTGAGTCCTCGGAATGGGAATGTAATGTAATATATAGAAAGAACTCGAACAGTAGAGTTAGTATGGATCGAGAGGTTGGTGTGAATCTTTTGGAATCGGGAACGGATCAGTTCGTTGACAAAACGAATGTTGAAGTCGTTGTGGATAGTAAGGTCAGTGACGAAGTAAGGAAGACGATTTGTTTGAGGATTTTTGATTCAAAGGATTGGATTTTGGATGGCACGGCAGAACCCCATAGTTCCACTCCGTTCAAAGTAGTCGCAGTAAAGTCTTATGTAAGGTTAGTTTAGCTTTGATCGTCAAGCCTGATTTTGGTCCCAGAAGTTTTCGTATTTGTCCAAGTCTTCAGTAAGTTCCCTTAAGTCTAAGGATAGTCCTAAGTTACTTCTGGAAGTCGGTATCTCATTGTTGTTGATAATGGAGCGCTACTCCTACTGGTACACTGATGGCTCCAAAATCGACAAGGGCAAGGAGCTGGAGTCTTCGAGATGAATCCAAAGACTTAACTGATGGTAAACCGAGGTAAATATGCTACAATTTTCCAGTCTGAAATCATAGCAATTGAACACTGCGCCAGGGAAATAAAAAGGTTAGGGATATATTTCCGGAAGATAGCCATCTTCTCTGACAGTCAGGTAGCACTCAAGACCCTAGCCTCCTGCGAGGTGAAGGCAAAGAGTGTTTGGATCTGCATGGAGGCCCTGACGAAAGTCAGTGACACTAATGACCTGACCCATGGGTCCCTGAGCATTCGAGGCATAGAAAAGGTGTGTTGGCCAAAAAGGGAATCAGCATGGTCTCTGTAGGTCCTGAACGGACCTACTGTGGCTTAGCATCCTGCCACAAAAGAGGATACATCTTAAAATGGATCCTTAATGAGTCCAAAACCTGGTGGAACAATACCACAGGCATGAGGCACGCAAGAGATTCATATAAGGGCCATTCGCAAAACTTAGCAGTTACTGGAAGACAACCGCGGCCGAACCAGGATTCTGGTTCGACTCCTGAAAGGGCACTGCCACTTAAGATTGCACATGCACCGGATAGGAGTACAGAGACCTGAGAACACATTTTATGTTTCTGTAAAGGTCCATGTAGGTGCAGGTTCTTGCAACTAGGACGGGAAAAACCGCAAGCAAGATTCTAAGGACTAAGGGACCGCTGGCAAGGCTTTGGACGTTGATTAACAATTTGAAGCTGACCAGTGAATTATAAAAAACAGGGGAGCACAATAGATACATTCAGGTCGAGGTGCAGAAGGTCTTGGGCCACCTCTTTTTTCCCTATCCCTTCTGTGGAGGGCAAGACTGTTTTTTCAATGTGAGCTGGGAACGTTTTTCTTCATTCAATCTTGTCCTCCACTTTTTCCACCAATCTTTGATAAGCTCAAGGTGTTCTTGGATTTAGGAGGTATCTTGGATAGGAGTTGAGTTAGAGGACAAAACATTTTTATTCTAGATGTACAATCTAATTTCTTTGGATTTGTATTCACCAGCAAATTTCACTATTTGTAAATTTCTTCGACTCTTTCTTTTATATTAAACCTATACAAAAAATCATGAAATAATCCAGTCCTTGTAAGACAAGATACATCCGAACATCCGACCGAGAAGTGTTTCGTTCATCTCCGAACGTATTTATTATTGTAAAATAACCTAAGCAGAATCGAAACTCGAAAGCAGTGTATTAAGGTGAAAGCGGACTTGAAGCTCTTTGGGAGGAGGGATCAACAAAACGGGTTGAAATTGCCAAAGGAAGCGTTAGGTTTGAAAATTTGTCGCGTGACATCCTCGAATGAAGATTAAATGGATGATAGCTCAAATTGTAAAACATAATTTCAATGAAATAAAGTTTTACGTATCAAAAAAGGATAAACCATAGCTGTGTCATAAGTTTGTTTTCAAGAGAACACCTCCTTAAATAAATAAAATAACCCAGCCAAGTTTAACTCTCACAATCAGTCTGTATAATAAAATACTTTACCACGGTTATAAATACAGAAAATTATGTTAATAGCCTGACCCTTCCCTAAAATGGCTTTACTCTCCGCGATGCGATGTGAAAATATGGGTAGTCAAAAACAACCGGAAGAAAGGATCCAGGTTATTAATTTGTTTTGTTAGTAATTAACAAAAACATCAGTTTATATCCGCTCGATATTACATCGCATGAAATCGAAGGCAGTATAAATGGGCCTAATCTAACCTAACCATTCCTAAACCTAACTGCATAATCTAACCAATCCTAATCCTAACTCTACCTAACCTAACCATTCCTAACTTAACATGTAAGATATAAAGTTCGAGGTGTATATAATGTGCGCCCTTTGAGAGTTATTTTATCCCCTGTTCTGTGCTTATAGCACATAGATGAATCCTAGTTCATCAATGAATTTGATAAGTAGACCCGGTTGAATTTCTTCTATGGCTATGTTATGCGTCCCAAAACACTTTCTCCTATGGACAAATGTGGTATCACAGATTGTTAGTAGGTTGTTGGTGTCTCCTCTGCTCTTTGCAGAATTTGCACGTGCCATGTTCGGTAATACCAATCTTCTTCAAATTACGTCTGTAGTGTTCTGTTAAGAAACCTGTCAGGATTTCAAGCTTTCCTGCTTCTTTTGATTCATTCTGTTTTTCTTTCCGTCCAAAAGGATTGTTTATGTCCAATGAATTAATTTCATTGTTTCGTCATTTTTAGTTTATCTTTTTGTCTAACAAAACAGTATCTCCTAGCCTATCTCAAACATGATGTATTTTCGTGTCGTAAAAGAAAGAACTTTTTCCGTTCTAATAACAAAGCATTCTGGTGAGTTTCTTAATTAGTTTGGATTTACCATCAACCTTTTGTCACAATTCACGTAACTGGCGGGTTCACCGTGCGGTACATACCATTTACAATATCTAAATGGGACAACATTCATGTTTTTCTGATAGGCGAACAAGACTATGATTAGACAATTAACAACAATTACTACAAACCTAGTAAAAAGGATAGGCATATTAACATGTGATCCTCATTTGTTTTTGGCTTTATTATTAACATTATATTATATGTATTGCATTTACTATACCTTAGATCATTTCTTTAGTGTTTAGGTTCGGTTTTTAAATATTTATTATGCATTTGGGTAAACGAAGAGGAATTGGTTTTATTCTTTTAGATTTACTATTGGCACATTACTATTAACAATACTATAGTTGACCATCCGCTTCCTAGTTTTCCTCTCATTTACTGACGTAACGAAACGTGATTCGGATGACACCTACCATTTTCCAAATTTCCAGTACTTGTTTTTGTTTTGTACTGGTCAATTTGTATGCATCTCGCTGTTTTCGAGTTGCCACTTCGTTACTCCTCATTCGTTAACCGTTCATGACTAGTAGTCACAGGAAAATTATGTCATCCGTTTGGAAATGGAAACCACATATGGGCCGGTTTCAAATAAAGCAACGGGAAAGGGTTCAAGTCTTAAAAATTTCCATTTAATAGAAAACATCTTTAATATAAGTATCCTATCTTTCCAGAAACAATTCTCTCCATTTTTGCAGACACATAGCAATCTTTTCCCGCATAAAGATCCAATCACCGCATACAGAAACCTTCAAAACCATTTGCAGTGCCTCAACATTTAGTCCTCAAAGTGGAAAATTAAAATAAATCCAACGAAGTGTCAATACATTAACTTCTTACTTAGACATATAACGCTACCAACTTTTTACTTTAACGGGATTTTTGCTACCCCCTGTCGAACACGTACGTTACTTGGAATCCGCAGACAAGACGAAAACGGAACGAACTAAACAGACGATACAAACTGATATCACCACTACTTGACAGACGATCAAAACTTCCACTGAATTACAAAAGAAACATCGTATGCCGATGCATTCCACAAGCATCCTCGATCCCATCCTCACTGGGACTACACACTGCAGATTTTCAATCCAAAATCAGTACTCCTCACATGTGCAGACGATTCTAGCTTTCAGAAACCTCCGGTTTGGAAGAATGTTCAGCAAAATGGAGGATCAGACACAACGAAATGAAATCCCAGCAAATAATCTTTATCTCTTCCTCAATCTCCCAGAAGACTTTCAGGGTCCTTTTGTCTTTGAAACCGTATAAAGTCGATACAGCCCTCTTCATAAAACGCAAGACGCTCATCCAAACCCCAAACCCCAAAGAATCCAGTCACTCCAGTCCAAAATCCTTTGAACCATTGCCAAGCCTCCTACTTTAGATCCAACCTTTCTATTCGTACAAACCTTTGAATCCCACTTGTCCTCAAAACCGTTAGAATAAACAGACGCTTCCACATAGCCCTTGACCCTCATCCCAACCTCTTAGTCCAACACCTCTAATCCTCGAAGATGCCTAAAGCATCAATGCAATCGCAGTTTCCTCCCTAGTGAGAAAAGTATGTTGTGTTGTGATAGGAGAATAACTAATGGGTTACTTGTAAGATTCTAGGTCAGTTGTAACATAATAATATAACACAAAAATTAAGCCATAAAGGAAAGTTGGTGAAGGAGAGTATGATAATTGGTAGTTTTCAATTTCACTGGGTGTGGCCCATGTGTTTATATATATTACACAGGGCGGGCGACCAGGACCCGAGGGGTTAAAAGCCTGAGTAGGCCCGTACCCCATGGCCCATGTGTTTGGGTATTTGTTTTATATCAAAATAATAATTTCAATATTTTATATTATTTTACAGATCAATGGAAGAGGAAAAGGACAAAGACACAGAAATTTACATGTACGATATCTCGACTGAAAATGTTAGCAAACTAAGGGGAGAACTTAGTTCAGCATTTGTTGAAGTTGCTCAATCCAACTCAGAAAGTGAAGAAATTGAAGAACTTGCACCACAAATCACCCAGACGGATACGCCTGCATCACAATTGTAAATAACTGTTTAGAAAAAAAAATTGATTCCTCATCAATTCAAACGGCTGATAGTCCAAGTTCCCTATGCCAAAAAATACTGTAAAATGAGATGTTTAAATATTTGCTTTTTATAATAAATTTTTTTAACAATCTGATACTTTTTATTTACCAATAAAACTGAAGACAAATGGATTTATCATCTATGTTGTTAAATTAGGCATGGCAATCAGTGATGACCAAGCTATTAATTTAAAAAACATTAATAAAGTGAACAATTTTTATTATTTTAATGATTATTTCAATTTGATGTTTTGATCCTTCCTTGCCTTAAGATTCCACTTGATGATGATGATGTTGAGAAAGATACTAGGAAGTTTCAACTTTCTTTGGTGATATTAGGCCGAAAAATATTAGACTTGTGTGCAAGCATTCATTATTTTATTATTCACTAATTCTAATAAGTCCTTGTGTACTTCTATACCTAAAAGATCTGACTCTTAGGACAACCCTCACTCAATTAAGAATAGGCCTTATGATGTGCCTCACCTAATTGAAGGCTGCAATTCCTTGGCTCCATACAGAGAGTGCTTAAGGATGCCCTCTGTTTGAGAAGCGTGCTTGAGCTCGGCAGCGAGTATTTGGGTCCCTGTTCCGATTCTTGGAGGAAAGAGGGTTGTTTTATTGTATATAGTATTGATATTTTTGTGTCTCCTAGTGAGTGTTGATAGTGATGATAGTGTAAAAGGACTGATGGCAGAATATTGAGTACCCCATCCGACCCACAATTAGGTTAGGTATAGGTGTAAATGGTGTCGGAGGAATACCAATTACTCCACCATCCTAATTGAGGGAATGGTATATAATATAGGAAAGAATGTATTTAAGAATTTTTACGTTTAACAATCCAGCCTCATGCAAAAATTCCATAAATCTATCCATCTCTCGACAGCCATCCAGAATTTCCTACAAAACACAAGCAAAATTTTCATACATCTCTGCAGGTAGAGGTTCACTACCCATCAGGTTTCCATTCATAATCCTACACTGACTGATTCGCAAATAAGTGCTGATTTTTGCATTTTTCGATAGCTGTTTTCTATTGTCTATTACTAGATTTGATCTCTCTCAATTTGTTCTCTTTTCATTTCCTGCCAGCTATTTCTTTTATATTAATATCTTCAAGAGGCACTTTTTCTATTAGAAATCCCTCAATGGCATCAATTGTGGCAGCACGATCAGCCTGTTCAGGTATCTCACTTGAATATTCACCTTTAATAAATAAGTTTTCAAATTATAAAGGTAAACAAATTAACAAAAAAAGTATATTCATAATCAATAAGGAAATGGATACATCAAAAGATTCATTAAACATCCTTCTTCCAGGGATGTTTAAGGGGGAACTGGAAGGGGGAAAAATATAAAATTATTATAAAAAGCATTCTTTTTTAATTGTACCGATTGTTTGTTTAACTTTATGTTAGATTTTTGATAAAATTGTTCAACATCTGCAGTTAATATTGTTTTATATTCAGTAATTCAGTAACAAGGAATAATATTTGATAAAAAATTAACCTTGAACTCCCATCTGCAGCCCATCATAACAAAAGGCAAAATATTGCTAATGACCACACAAAGAACTAAGCAAATCCTGGGGACTAAAACTGAAAATGGCCAATTGGCAGTAATAAAACTCAAATTATCCGATGATTCACACAAATTAATAACATTAGGCAGCCTAAAAAGACTGGCAAACCTATGTATCACAGTTGCAATAAAAACAACCCCATCAATTGAACTAGAATCACTGTTAAACCTACTTCCATTGTTAATATATAATACTTAACAAGGAGAAGGGAGGAAATGCTCATTTAGGCTCCAGAAACAGCTCTTCAAGCACACAACATTAATTAATACAAATCATGCACCAATTCTTAGAAATGGGGACCGACTTCATGATCCCAGAAACACTCTTCACACATCCTACAAAGTCTTAACAGATTACAAAGGAGAAGAAGAATTCAGGAGGAAATCAGATACCATGATATGGAATACAGATGGCTCCAAAACTAATGAAGGAACCGGATCAGGCTTTTTCTGTACAAGCCAAAAATATGAGCTATCAAACTCATTAGGGAAGAACACCTCGCTCTTTCAAGCTGAAATACATGCCTCAGAAAATCTCATTGATAAAAAAATTCTCCTAAGATTGGCTAGCCAAGCAGCTATTAAAGCATTAGCATGTAAAAAAATCACATTAAAATTAGTAAGTCAATGCATTCAAAATCTCAAAAGCTAGGGGAAACACAACACCCTGGGGATCTTGAATACAAGGATACAAGGGAATTTTGGGTAACGAAAAGGTAGACACACAGGCAGGAGGGGTATCTACAAGGCATAGATATATAGGTTCTGAACTTATTCTTGGCTAACAAAAACAAACACAGAATCCTCCATAGATTATTATCCACAATAGATCCAAAAAGACAAAAGAAGAAGTAGATAAACACTAGATGCTAGACACTGTAAGCTTATGTTAAAACAACCCTCACCAAAACTGGTAAACTCTCTGCTACAGTTAGAGAGGGCTAATTTCAGAGAAGTGATAGGACAATATACCGGTCACTGGCATCTGAGAAAACACTACTATGGGTATATTCAATGATAACCCCATATGTAGGTTATGCAATGAGGAGGAAGAGCCACCCATGTCATCTTCAAATGATAAGCAACCACACAATGGAGACATACTCTGGGATTGAAAGAACATCCAGGGAAAGGAATTGTAGCAATGACAGTCAATAAGCTAGTACTTCATAGGAGAAGCTTGCAGAAATTTCCAAGACCTCCTGTTGGGAAGGATAGTCTGTAAAATTGAGGATCAGACTCAACAAAATGAAATCCCAGCAAAAATCTTCTTTGAAATTGCATAAAAAGCCTTCATAAAACCCTGGGCTCTCATCCAAACCCAAAACTCCAAAGAATCCGATCACTCTCCAGTCCAAATTCCTTCAAGCTATTGCCCAAGCTTCCTACTTCATATCCAACCTTTCTATCCACATAGACTTTCGAATTCCATTTGTCCTCGAAACCGTATACAGTTGATAAGCTGTCATCCAACGACAGTCAATGACCTAGTACTCCTTAGGAGAAGGATCGAGTCAGCCGCGCTGAACTAAGGAACTAGAAAAGTACAATTAGTACATAAGGGTGCAGTGCTTCAGGAACTAAACACCCAATTTCCTACTCTACATATTCATGATAATCATTGCCATCCCAGGAGAAAAGAGTTGTGATGATCATCTGTAGATTACAAGTTATCCTGTAGGTGTCATCACTGCTTCAAGAATGATCTCACCTACCACACTGCAGCCAATGAGTTTGCAGCAGTTCTGTATATAAGCAGGCTCAACCTGCTAATTTCAGACTCATCAAGGAGGTGAGAAGTCTCAATACTCACTAATGAGCAAGTCGTCAGCACTTAACTACATCAACAACACATCCCTCTAGCCGATGTAGCTACCTGCTGCACAAATCCCAAAGGTCAGTACAGATTCTATCGACTCCCGCTGCTTCGACCATCGGCCCTTCTCAGGGCCACCAAACCCCAGTCATTAAACAGTGAAAAAATTCATTTTAATTGTACATAATAGTCCACGTAATTCCCTGACACTGTATAGAGAGTGAGTAACTACCTGTATGAGAGCCAGAAAGAGCTAGGTTAGTTCTGCATGGTGCAAAAGTTCGAATTTTATTTTAGTAGTTCAAACATTGTGTTATGGTTCTGAAGAAGGTTTCTGCGATTGAACAAAAAAGCTTCTTTCAGGGAGAAACAAAAGGCAGAACTAATAAACCTGGTACTGGTTAGAACTAGAACGATGTCGGACATAGTATAATTGCGTAACGCTGCAGTGCTTGGGGAATAAAAAATCCCGACTTTCTAGTATAAATATTCATAATCATCAATGGGCTAACAATTTTATTAGTTTGAACCAACTTTTTAAAACTAATTGAGCATAAAATGTGTCATATCTTGTTGAAGAATATAGTGTTATAGTGTACACACATAATAACTAATTGTATAATGACCGATTTATATAAGCTCAATTGTGCATATTTACAGAACCACCTCTACTTCGAGTTTTGGCAGTCTGGGGTCAGTTTCCTCCATCTCCCTTTACATATACTATACAATTAGTCTATTTGAGGGGGGATGGTGTACTCCATATACCACCTCAGGTTCACACTAATAAATACATTTAATCTCAAATATTCATAAACAAGAAACACAAGGAATATCTATTGTATAAAGTACTATATACTATATAAAAATGTCCTATTTCCCAAAAAAGTCGGCTCAGAAGATCCAAACATTCCCTGTCTAATTCTTATATATCATTCGTACACGCTCCCTATCTAGAGCCAAGAAATGACACACATCAATTATGAGGGACACGTCGAGCATTATTTATAACTTTAAATTGTTTCGGTCTTTTAAATTTATTTTCATCTGTGTATTTTATTAATTTATAAAATCGATTAGTTTCGATTCCTTTGTTAATGGTTTACTTCAATCTCAATAGTAACAGTGACAATTCCTTCACCCGATTTCCATCTCACGATTCCTTATCAATTCAATTTTTCATGTGTAAGACAAAATGGAAATTACAAAGTAAAACCAAAGATCAGAACGAGCTTGGCTTGACGGACCGCAGTCCTCGAAACTTAAATCATTAAACCCAATGGACCGACTTTGACCGAATCAAAGAAGTTTGTATTTGTTTCATCCTTCATTGGCTTGCCTACAGCCGAATCAATGGTAAACTTACAATAACTCGTATTTATGCGACTTTCATATAAATACCAATGTTACTTTATATTTACATTGTACACAACTAGGAAACATGATGTTCATCATTTTCCACTTGTAGTTTTATTGCTTCAGTTTTTAAAACAATGTGAATCAAGGGATTAACTGAAAAAATTGTACACTGATGGACAAATTTAACGCATCACTAAATTTATTTAGTTTAAAATTCAATCCATTATCTTTCTACATTAGTTGAAGGTAATTAGGAGCTATCGTAGTCAAAATAAATTGTTTACTTCCTTTATACTGATTAATCCCATTCACACTAAAAGTAGCATTACGCCCTTCCATTCTACTACGCTTAATATTGCTTAAAGTTAATCTTTTTTTCTTCGTTGATTTCGTTTGATATTATTCTTAAACCTTTTTCAATAGCTCCAATCCGGCATTTGAGTGAGTACAGTGTCCGGGTCATTATTAGAGAAAGGATACAGCTAGCACAAAGTTGCCAGGAAACAGTGTAAATCACTCTACAGTATGAATGGTTCTTTGGCGCTTCAGAAATACAGGGCTTCACACTAGAAAGCTAGGCAGGGTTGACGATTTCAATTTCCTCCAGTACTCTATGAAGGCTCAATAGAAAATAACCTCCAGGCCATGGCGCCCAGATCGTGGACCTCTTCTTACAACTTGGAAAATTGCCAGGCTTCAATTCGCAAGGGAACATGTGTATTGGATATTGGAAGGTTGACGATGAGTTTCCTTCTTGAGATGGAAGTAATTTTATATCAGGAGAAAGGTACATCGCTCAAATGGCATTCCACGACAGGTCATTGATGTTTTTTTTTTGGGGGGGGGACATTACTTTGGACCGAAGTACCGAATTGGTTGTTGTGCGAGGAAGATCTCTAGCCTCACAGAGGTCCTTCAAGATTTAATTGAAGAACATACGATGCCACCCACATTCTTGCTAATGCCAGACCCCATAGAGCACGTATTGTGGATGTCTACCTGAATGGTGTTGGAATTGAGTGCATGGTTTGGCCAGCTCGAAGTCTAGATTTGTACCCACCCAAACAGATTTGCGACCAACTCAAGCAACTAGCACAACAGCGAAACCCAGGTGCCCCCAGACCCAGACCCTAGAAGATTTGGAATGGAAGAATTCCTAAGCATTTTATCAGAAATATTTTCCAAGGATTGCAAAGGTGTTTAATGGAGGTGATTCATGCCAGAAATAGAAATACTTGATATTAAAGGAGACAAAAGTTTTTTTACATTTTTATTTGTTTTTGAATTTTCAGTTGTTTTGTTCTTTACTCAATAATTGTTTTTTTTATAATTAGGTAATAAACATTTTCTTTTTCATTGTCTTATTTTTGCAATCAAACCTAGTTTTGGTATGCAAAATATACTATACAATATACAAAATATATACAAAATATAAGTACATAAAATTTAAGGGTGGTGCATTTATTTTTTCCATCAGTGTAGTTAGTGTGAAATTGAAAATTTGATTGATTCCTTCTTCCTTGTTGCTAGTAATGAGCACCAATCAATTGATGCTGTATAATTTGTAACCAATTAACTGATAATGCTCATATTTGCTTGACTTGATTTTGTCAGGCAAAAATAGAAAGTCCTGTTCTTCTTGTTCGTCTGCCAGTTCAACAACCTACACCTTAATAATATGAGATGTCTACAGAGTGATAATCCTGTAGTTTGGTTATTTCTAATCATTTTGGTCTGCCTATCCTGCTCTGTTCTGTCAGATACATTTTGGTCTTTGGCCATCTTCTTTGTTGGGTCTGTCGCCACTGATTCTGACAGAACAAATCTGTGAGGATAGGCAGAACAAAATTATTAGTTACAACCAATATTCTAATCATTTAAGTCTTCCTGCAGTCACCCTTTTCGTAATGTTTGCCTGTCAGGTCAACTATCTATAGTTATGCTTAATATAGTGAGATGTCTGCAGGGTGATGAACCCGAAGTTTGGTCATTTCCGATCATTTTGATCTGCCTATGCCTTCTATTTGGCAGACAAATTTCAGCTTTTAGCCATTTTTTTCTTGGGTCTGTCACCAATGATGTGTAACAGAACAAAACATGAACATGCTTATGCGTTATTACATTTTATCATATCCATGTTTTGGTCCGACTTAGTTTCGAACGAGCTGGACTCCATTGTATTTTTACATTTGTCTCAATTTTTATATATATTCTCAGATATTCTGTTTTCTAACGCACCTGGCAGACCTAGAAGAACAGGTGTGAAATCAGAGATGATCAAGCAAGTTTCATCACTTCGCAGAGCTCATCGAAATTATCCATTTTTGACTACTGAGCCTTTTTTGGCAACAATTCATATTTTTATCAATGTTTTTAATTCTTTTAGATTTTTTACATTATTTCTGTGATTTAAGAAAAAATAAGTGTCACAAACTTTGCACGGAAAAAAAGATATTTGTACAGTGTTTAAAAATCATTCTGTAAACTCAGAAGACATGTAATTTGAAATTATGTCAGTTAGATATACTAAGGAAATAGGTGTTGTAAGGCGGTAACAATTTGATATGAATGAAAGGCAATTTGTATTTTAAACAATGAATGGTGCAAGGATTTGCGACTAATTTGCAAAATAGCTCGACAGATCTCAAACAACTACAATATTCAAAGAATTCTTAAAACTGCCACAACACAAGTTGTAGTAACAAAAATTTAGAAAAAATCACAAAGATGAGTGCAAAAAACTTATGCTGAAACAAGCAGGGAAGAAAACAATCAGTGATGAAAAACACGTTTTGTGTATAACAATCTAATAATTGTGAAATTTTCTTTTGAGGCCTGTAGGGTGATGAATCGTTTGGCTTGATCGTTTCTGTTCATTTTCTTCTGTCAGACATGTTTCGGCTTCTTGCCATCTTCTTTCTTGGGTCTTTACCACAAATCAGAAATTATCAGAAACTACCAAATACAATATTCCAGTTGTTCAGTCCCCTTGCATTGTTTATAATTCCTGAGAAGTAAGTAGAAATATACCCTTTCGAAAAAAAATCATGTATTTTCAAATTTGTGCTGTTTTATGTATGTAGTTGTCTATGAAATATACCTAAAAATACAATCTATAACCAATTGATCAATTTTAAAACAACATACCATAATTTATCTTTACGTCAAAATGTTAATTCTAGGCTAATCTTCTGAAAGATGTTGTCCTTAGTGATGACAAGCCGAAAGAATTTCTTTTGGATAAACATCTTCAATACGTACTGTCTTATGGTGTCAACACCGATGAATTTGTAAGTATAGATTTTATGGCAGTGTTAATAACATCAGTAATTTTATCTTTGACCATTAGGAATATTGTACGACTGAATACATAAGAATGTCTGGAATGTATTGGATACTTACGACATTAGCTACGACAAATAAGCTCGACAGCACTGACAAAAGACAATTTTTAGATTTTATAAAACAATGCATTGATAAAAACAGTGGAGGTATTAGTGGATGTGTTGGGCACGATCCCCATATACTCTACACATTGAGTGCTGTTCAGGTAATGTTTTCTTGCTAAAATTAATCTATTTAGGTCATAAATAAAACCTTTTGTGGCCTGACACTTCTATGAGCAATGTTCACCACTTGGGGAAACTGTTCAATATTATGTTTATATGACAATTCAAAATGGAAACTTTTTTTACAAACTAGTGGTTGTTTATACTATTGATTATTTAAATTTCCAATGCTTACCAATCATTTTTTTCCCTACCTCAATAAAAAAATTTAAACATTGATACCTTACTCCAAATGTTGGTTATAAAGAGATCATTTTACAGTACATCCCTTAACATTCGTAGGGGGTTAGGTACCAGAAAACTCCCATGAATTAAACCTATTAAATCCATTATGTTTAGTGGGTCTGATTGACCAAATTAGTTATTTTAATTAATTATTCTTTGTATGTAAGGTCTTGGTTGAAATGAAAAAGTTAATGTCACGAACAGGATTCGAACCCACCAATTTCGGCTCAATATGTGCCACTGCTCTAATCACTTGAGCTCAAAGGTCGTGGGTTCAAATCCCGCTCGTGGCACTAACTTTTTCATTTCAACCAAGACCTTACATACAAAGAATAATTAATTAAACCTATTATTGTTATTTTTATTGGCCATATTGTATTACATTTTTGTTTATTTTTAGTCGAGGAGTTGGTTAGGGAAAAAAGAGATCAGTTTTTAAATAGTAAGTGGTGTGAATGCTCATATCCCTATCGCTAAGCGATGCAAGGACATTTAGCGTATATGCTGTATTACTTTTGGTGTCAAAGTAAAGTTTAACACATGGCTACACTTAGAACTCTCTCAATCTGTATTTCTGTGGAACAAATGTGTTACATACAACTCAAACTTCAAGGGTGAGCCTAGGGGGCATCGGTGGTCGCAACGGTTTAGGTGTTGATATGGCGCTCATCACTGTAAGGTAAACATACAAATTCACATACATAAAAATGGGCGACATACTTTCAAATGGGCTTTTTTTTTTAAAACATCGAGGGTTCATATAACCTCATAGTTGAAATACCCTCATTTAAAATGAGCCAATTTACAAACCAAACTTGCTTGAGACGACACTTGCCAACTCCGTCTCCACATCCTTCACCCTCTTTCTTCTTGGGCACTCTTCTTCATTCTCTCCTCAGCTCCCCCTAGACTCAACTCAAACAAGTCTCATCAGTGGGGGAATGAATAAGGATTTTTTAAAATCCTTCACTTCAATGTGACCTATACAGATCTATTGTGGATCCCATATAAATTATAACCATGCCTTGGAAAGTGCACTTTTTCCTATAAGTTAAGCACTTTCCTCAGTGCCTCTTCACACACCTCTTTTAGAAGGTACCAAAGTGGCTGTACTGTACCAAGCTAATGTTTCACATTCATAAAGGATATGTGCTGATTTACCTAGTTCCTCCTGAAAGAGTAGGCATGTTTCTGTCTCTGCTTTGCCTATCTTCTTTAGGTGGTAGTGAAGAGGGCAGTGGCCAGTAAAGGAGCGTATAATTTTGCCTACTGAGAAAGAGAAATTCCTTTGCCTTCCTTTTCGAGAGGCACTAGAAACATCAGCACATATCCTTTGCGAATGTAAAGCATTAGCTTATGTTGGTAGGACATTTCTCATACCCAAGAAGATTCATGAAGAAGCACCAAGGAAAGTGCTCAGTCCTATAAGGAATAAGCGCACTTTCAAAGGTATGGCTATAAGCTACGGGTTCCACAATAGGACAGTTTAGGTTGCAATGGAGGAAAGAATTGTCTTCTGCATCAATCCCAAAAACACTTTTTTTAAAAAGGTCTGTCAAAGTTGAGTTTTTCTCTTATTTTATACCGTTATAGCTATCTCATTTATTTTAATTCTCTCCAGAATTATGTGGTGCCTCCTCCTTAGATCTGGCTTTATTTTCTTGTATATCAGTTGTCACTCTCCAAAGCCACCTTTTTTACATAAATATGTAGGGTGGAAGGTCAAGTGCGATTTCCATTGCTGCAGCGGAGCAGATATGCATTGCCCTTGTTATATTAAGACACTCTGCATTGTCTTGTCTTGACTCTTCTCACTTTTTCTCTCACTATGTCTGTCCAATTAGATTTTCCAGTCCTCTCATTTATATTGCATCCCACAAACAAGGATAGAGGGAATGAAAAGTAAAATCCTTTGGGATGACCGCCTTTATCCTGGCCTTCCATGCAACACCTTGTATTCTTGGGAGCTTCCATTATGTGGCCCTCTGGATCTATTGTCAATTGCCCTCCTGTGTAGAGATATAAAAGCCCTTCCGGTCAAAATTCATGGTGACCCTAACTGGTGATAAGCTCTGTCTATGATGCACGCCAACTTTGTCTCAATAAATAATTCTTTGTCTTTTTTGGTAGCATTCCTTTGTTTCCTACTAGGCTGAACAGAAGCCACTTTCAGGCGAGGCAGTTTGGTTGATTTTAACTAAGTTGCCTGGTTAACTCTCAACTACACGTCGACTGCCATGTTGTGAAGCTTTTTTATTGGCTGGTTTCACATAAGGCAACTTACGGAATCAACTTCTCTTCAATAAGAGGAGTATATTCCTCATGTCCCATACCATGGGACTAATACAAATTTCTTTAATGAACTGTTCTGCTCGGAAACTACTGCCTGGTGTGAGGGACAAATGCCTTGTGCCTGCAGCCACCCACCTGGATAGTAACTGTGTATAAAGGGGTTCGGGCAGTTTCCAATCATCTGCTACAGGTCCTTGATACCCATCCGTTCAGCTAATTGAATCATCTAATCACCTCGTCTAAAAGAGGCCTAAGTTTTCTAAGAAATTTTTTAGGGTTTGAATCCCTCCATCATTTATGAGAATTTTCTTTGCAAATAACGTTAGGCATTAAATCATAAATAAAAATTGCGAATGTTAAAGGATTACTATATATGTTTTATTAAAATTCTGTTTGGTAAGGTACACACAAGTATCATTCTAAATTGGACTATTCATCAAGTTTAAAAAAAAAAAAAGTATTAAATATAATCTTTTTTTTTGTATCTTTTAGATTGCTTGCATTCTAAATGCAGTCGATGAGTTGCCAGTTGATGAAATAGTTAAATATGTAAGAAGTTTGCAAAAACCAGATGGTAGCTTTATCGGAGATAAATGGGGTGAAGTGGATACTAGATTTTCATTTTGTGCTGTTGCCTGCTTATCATTACTGGTTTGTCACTTAGAAATATGTTTGTTCATGGCAATTTAAATAGCATCTCAAAATTTATGTATAAAAAACATTAGGGAAGATTGGATGCCATTAACATAAAGAAAGCAGTCGAGTTTGTAATGACATGTCAAAATTTTGATGGTGGCTTTGGATCTCAGCCAAACTCAGAAAGTCACGCAGGTCTAATTTATTGTTGCGTAGGTTTTCTTTCCATCACAGGTAAGGGACTTGTGATTTATGTTTTATCTGAAATTATTGACGGAAAGTATAATGCAGGTGAGCTATCTAGGATAGATGCTGATGCATTAGCTTGGTGGTTGTGTGAACGACAACTCCCTTCAGGTGGCCTTAATGGCAGACCAGAAAAACTACCAGATGTGTGTTACTCATGGTGGGTTTTAGCGTCATTAACCATACTAGGGAGACAACATTGGATTAGTAAAGAACAACTAAAGACTTACATTCTAGCTAGCCAGGTAAATGATAATAAATCTCTTATGAAGTTGTCCTAAAATATTGTTTCTTTTCAGGATAATGAAACTGGCGGGTTTAGTGACCGACCAGGAGATATGCCAGATCCTTTTCATACATTATTTGGAGTCGCTGCCTTATCTTTGCTAGAAGAACCTGGATTAGCACCTATAAATCCAACGTTTTGCATGCCACAGTCGGTTATCGATGAGTTACAATTATCCCCTGAAAGGCTGACTGTTTAAAACAAATTCAAAGTATTGTTTAAAAAACAAAATGAACATTGCACACATTATTTATTTATTTGTAGCAGTAAACTTATTTCCTGTTTAAGCAGGTATATTCCTATCAAAATATGTACAGTAAAAAAACATTTAATATCCCTATTATCTTATTTACCATAATAAATCAAAAATAATAAAAATTATTTTTAAAAAAGCTTTTTTTTCATTTTGTCTTTATCTTATTTTATACTAAATATGTCTGCCAAAAAAAAATATTTTTCCAGCAGAATGAACTGGAGCTTCTCGACAAAACAATTGTTGTTGTCTAATACCCGGCCACATTGGCCTGAAGGGTAACAAAAAGATAAGCTAAGGCTGGAATGTCCCAATGGTGGACCTAACCACTGCAGTCTGGTCCTCTGGCACTAAAAATAAAATAAAAAACATGATCAAAAGAAAGAGGCAGCAGCCGGCTGTTCTCATGTATCAAGTGCACTGTTGATAGGTGGTCCTTGGAGGATCTAACCTCAGATGAAGGGTCATCCTCACCTGACTAAGGACAGGCCATGTAAGGTTGACCCTAGGATACTTACTTTTGGTCCTGAACTCGAATGTGTGGCCAGAATGTAGAGAAAGGTTGCTCAAAGTGTCACACTTAATTGAAGAGTTTCATTCCTTTGTTCCGTATAGAGAGCGTGTAGGAATGCCACCCAATATGAGAATTGAGCTTGAATACAGAAGCAAATATGTGGGTCTCCTGTTCCGATTCTTGAAGGAAACAGTTGTTTTCTTATATATAGTATTGATGTATTGATTGTTTTGTGTCCCTTAGAGTGTGTTGAGAGTGAATGTATTTATTAGATATTAATCCATCTCATCAAAGCTCAATTATGTTAGTTATATTGTGGTGAAATAATTATTAACAAATGCAAAGGCACAAGGTGTACGAAGGGAGGAGGTTCTAGTCAATAGTGACACAGCATCCCCTAGAGAGCCGGTTGATTGGAGGGTGAGTGAGAAGTCAGTTGTAAAAAAGAGATAGTGACGATCAGGTCGTATACATCATATACAATAAAGGGTTAAAAAGAAGTCTTTCTTCAGAAAATCACCCTTTACCCCAGTGGTTTTGTAAAGGTGGATTCTTCCCAGGTGCCCTGTTTGCAAGACAGAAGTTGGCAGTCTCCCTGGAAGGACAAAATGCGTTTTATGCCCTTCCACCACCTCCTTGTAAGAAATGATGCCATCCTCTTGATCGAACCAGGCTAAGACAGACCTGAGGTGGCAAGGTAACTTCTAACCGAGTACCCTCCGATACAGCAGGCCTCGCAAACTCCTTCAAATGTTTTACCCGGATTTACCACAAAAAAAACTGGGGGTACTACGACCACCATCACCTATGAGTGTTCCTTGTCCAGTTTGGCCTTTAAAAAGTGGGGGGGCCCCTCACTGGACTTTACGAGTGTTCCTACTTGTTACAAACTAAAACCACTCCATTACCGGTGCCTCCACCATTGACGACAACATCTTTTTAACCATTTATTATTTATCACATTACCCTGCCTGATCATTACAATCTCTTCTTTACAACTGAACTCTCTTTCCATACCCCTGGGCAACCTGTTCCTGAGAGGAGTAAGACCGGTGTGTCATCGGTGACTATGCCCTCCTCCATACACTGAGTGAGTATGACCCCATATGGCCAATACACAGGGTGGGTGATTCTCAAGGCATACCGATAATTTACTGTAAAGTACAAACTCTGAAATTGCCAGTGGAATAGGGGTTAATAGGCCTCAGTGTTCCCAACAATTGCCTACATTGGTGGGAACTGTAAATACCGAGAAATGCACTAGTTGGATAGGAATTCCTACGTAAACCTCAAGTCGAACCTCCATGTCCATGAAGGCCTCAGCCATGTACAGCCCAGGAAATATCTTTCTGATGGCTAACAGTGGCGAATGTGACTCCCGGCGCACTAGCGGGAAACTCCGGTCTATGGGAGACAACCCCAACAGAAAAACACCCCCAAGCTATTCTGTAAAGTAATGTGCTAAGGGCTGAATGGCCATATGGGGTGTTGTGGTCTTTAAGGTTCTTTATGGGGCTCTGTGTGGGCAGACTTTAGATCCCCAGCTTCTCATGGGAATAAAATGAAAAAAAAAAAAAAACAGAAGTACACACTTCTAGTGCAGATGGTAGTGCCCCAGGCAAAGGCAGGAGTGCTCCCCTGTGTAAGTAGAGACTTGTGTGTCTGAGCATCACTGTTGCAATGAGAACAACCCCCATGGCCGCCTTGGAAATTCCTTCTGAATCTGCCACCATTTCCAGGGAGAGGCCAGAGCCACAATTAATAGGCTAATGGAGGGACAGGCTCCAATAGCCGACTCACATAACAAGGAGCAACTAAAGCTTCGAGGGGAGCTTCAGCTAGATAGAATTTTGGGGATACCTACTGATGTCATGACCCCTAAATTCAGTTTTGACAAAAAATTTCTAATCAAAATACCTTGTAAGCAAACTGGGAAAGGGATTCCCAGTTAATGCCGACCATACCTGTTTTACAGATGGCTTCAAAACCAAATATGGGAGAGTCAGGAGCTGGCATTTATGGAAATAAACTAAGGACTAGAATTCATACAAGCCTTGGACAATGTGCCAGTGTCTTTCAAGAAAACTGTGCCAAGAAAATAAAAAGGCTGGATATTGTCAATACAAGAACAGCCACCTACCCGGACAGCCAGGCAGTACTGAAGGCAATTGCCACATAGGCAGTAAAGTCTAGAGTCGTTTGGGATTTTAATAGAGCCCTATCAGACCTTGAGGAAAAAAAATTACTCTTGTCTGAATACCAGGACACACAGGGCAGAGAGGCAATGAAGAGGCCGATAAACTGGCCAAGGAAAGTTCGATAAGGACACCTACTGGCCCTGAACCCTTTTGTGGCTTATCAAACTGCCAAAAATGTGGATCCATTAGACGATTTGGAATATAGCCCAGGACAGTGGCATGTAAAAAAGTTCATCAAAGGACCATCGCAGAAACTAACTGTAAAACTACTAAATCTAGGATGTGCTAGGACTAGAATAACAGTTGGATTGTTGACTAGACACTGCAGACTCCAGAGGCATATGATAGACTCGGAGTGGCAGAAACAATCTGGAAGTGCAGATATTGCCAAGAAGAAGAAGAAAGAGCGGAACATGTCCTCTGTTGGTGCGAAGGACTAGGTATTGACACAGCGACTCAACTGGACGAGGTCCCGGGTTCAAATCTCAGTGGCCCTTCAAATCCAATGTACCTCCAAATATGCTTCTTTTTTTCTAAAAAATCCAGAGGCTGATAAGATTGTATATTTGAAAATTGTCATTAAAACAGCAAAAAAGTATGTTTCAAATGTATGTATAATTTACAGATACTTATTGTAAAATGCACATAGTTTTTAAAAAAAATTTCATGAAACCATGGTGATTGGTTATACGTGTTAAGCCAAAATCCAGTATACACGTATCATACTCCTTAACGAACAACACACCTTTACATCCATTAAATTTGCTAAATACATTTTGTAAGAAAGTGGAAAGCTAACATTAAAGATACTGTTGTTAATTGTAAGTAAATATCTAAACGACCTAATTGATTTTTTTTAAACTGTTGTTGCTATTTTTCTTGTTTTGATTATTATGGAAAACATAATTAAATCAATCGGGATGAATTTTAGTGTATTTCCTTGAGTTTCCATTGCTCTCATACATTGCCACATGGTGGTACTAGGCAAGCTATTGTACTTATATAGTGTGTGGAGCTCCTATAAATTATAACCATGCCTTGGAAAGTGCACTTTTTCCTATAAGTTAAGCACTTTCCTTGGTACCTCTTTGCACGCTGCTTTTGGTGTGAGAATTGCCTTGCCAAAGTGGCTGTACCATAACTGGGCTTATGCTTCACGTTCACAAAGGATATGTGCAGATTTCTCTAGTTCCTCCTGACAGAGTCGGAATGTTTCTGTCTCTGCTTTGCCATCTTCTTTAGGTGGTGTTTAAGAGGGCAGTGACCGGTAAAAAGGCCTATAATTTTCTTCAAATGCTGCCTCCTGAGAGAGATGAGTTCCTTCACCTTCCTTTTTGAGAGATTATATACCTGGTACTTCTGTCCAATCCTTGAGTTTTTCTTTCTTGAGTCATTTTTCCTGTTCCAGCTTAAGCTCACACTTGGGTGCAACTAGTTGTGGTTCTTTTCCCATGGGTGAGAGAGGGATGCCCCATTTTTTGGCAAGTTGGTTAGCATGTTCATTTCCTTCATGTCCCGGAACCCACTTTTTCCAGATAATTTAGACATTCCTAGACAAGTTTGGGAGTTGAAAGCGTACAGCCAAGTTACTCAGATGTAAAGCTCTAATTAATTAATTAATTGCATAAATTAATAGCATCTTACAATTTTTAACAACAACAACAGTATAGCCACTTGAGTTTATATAACAAAAAAGTAGTTTTTTGTAAAATTTAAATTTCTGTATATTTTTTTTCAGCAATATACAAAGAAACATGGCTGATGATGAATTTAATGAGCTGTGGATGTTTAAAAATAAAAAAGCGAGTGTGGCTGCATACAGGAGCATTCACCCGTGTCAATATGTCTACAAACGTCCTGACTCGAATCTAACGAAATTCCTGATATCCTTAGGAGAGCGAATTTATCCTCGTAAAAGCTCTTCGCTTGAGTCTGAAGAAGTTGCGGATAAAAAAGAAAGTGTTCGAACCAGTTCGCCATCAGATACAGGTTCACCTTACAGAACGAGCCTGAAAAAATCTAGCACTGAGTCTCGACGATTTAGTAATACAAAAAAATCTAGCACTGACTTTAGAAGGCACAGCATTACTAAAAAATCCAGCGATGATATAAAGGGGATTGACATAGAGAATAAATTAAGTAGTGATTCCAGAAGAATTACTGCAAAGAAGCCACTGGATCGAAAATCCCATGGCACTAAAAGGCCAAGCTTTGAATCTGCACGACTTAGTGATGTTGACTGTAGGCCTATTGAAGAAATCTATAGACATGCTAAAGATAGGTCACCTACAAAAAGATGTGGGTCTCCTGGAAGAGCTATATATTCTCCGAGAAAATCAATCTCCCCACTAGACAGAGCGTCATCTCCACAAGGTAAAGGAGGCTCTCCTGGAAAGGACGGCTCTCTTCTTGATAAAGAAGGATCTCCAGGTAGAATTGGTTCTCCGAGAAGCTCTTGGTGTCCTTCTGGAAAAGCAGAATCTCCCAGGAAAAACTCACGGTCGCCTACAGGAACTATCAGTACAAAATCAAGAAGTCTTAGTTTAACAGATGAAATTTCAAGATATTACCACCGTAAGAGGAAATTAGTTGGAAGCATGCCAGGACTAGATGAGTTTGAATCATTAGATTCCATTGATTTCTCAATTACTGAACTGCGTTTTGCTGACCCAAATGTACATACAGTTTTTGAAAAAGTGCAGCCAACTATTAAGGTATAATGGGATGTTTATATTAATTTAATAATTTATTATGTTAGTTTTATCAGCAAAATTCAATACACAGGTAAACATACAATTATTGCCATTATCAATGATGGCTAAGTGTATAGAGAACAAAAAATTAATAACATTTATATTTAAATGAAAAGAAAAAATTTTTTTTTTCGTCAACGCTGGCACTCAGTATGAGGGATTAAGGGGCAAGGAGGTCTTGAGGCAATCGTCGATTAAGGCGATGTGGTGTGTTCTCAACATGGGAATGTGTAGGAAAGGCTCGAGCAGTAGAGTTACGATGGATCAAGAGGTTGGTGTCAAACTGAATAGTGAGATTAGTGTTGTAGTAAGGAGTTTTGGCAATGTGTATGTGAACTTTTGATTGGAAGGATTGGATAGCTTGGCAGTTACCCACAGTTCCACTCCATATGTTCCAAGTGGTCACAGTAAAGTCTTGTGTAAGGTTAGTTTAGTATGGATGGTCAAGATGGATTTTGGTCCTATAAGCTTTCGTAGTTGTCCACGTTATGTGTAGGGATTCCATGTCAGTCTGCTGTCTAGGTTTAGGACCTTACATATTTGACTTGAAAGGAAATAGATTTCTCTTAATTGTTGATGTACGTGATGTGCAAGAATGTTTTCTCAATGTGAACGTACACTGAATACTTTTTTATTCATTCAGTCTTGTCCTCCTCTTTTTGCAATCTTTGATAAGCTCAAGGTGTTCTTGGATGTTGGAGGTAGCTTGGATAGGATTCGAGTTAGAGGAAAAAATTAATGTATTTGTCTATTTAGGTGGTGAAGATTTGCCCATCTTGGTTCACTGCCTAGATTTTGTTGAACTTTAGTTCATAGGACTAATGAGCCATAGGATATATATATTACACTGCTATGTATAGCGCATATGGTATTTACTGTTTTAGTCCTCAAGATTTGCCTAGTAGCAATGTTTAAAAGTAGAGCTTATGCTTAAAAAATTTTTTAAATTTTTTTTTCTAGAATGAGTAGTTTAGATAAAACCTGTGGATACAGTAACAAGTTATACCCTGTATGTACAAAATTTATAAAAAGTTAATTAAATTCTTTTGTAAATCTTCATTAATCAACTACTTAACCGGACGTGCTCCATTCATAGTTTGAAAATAAAAATAAAAATTTCAAGCCTTGAAGATATTTTATTGTTATTTTTTCACATAAACAATCTAGACCAAATTCAACGTTATTACAACTGTTGGAAAGCTGAGTATTTCCACTTTTAGACTGTGCTAAGATTGTTTATAATTTATGTATTATAAATGTGATAAATAAAGATGAATTCAACATAAACACCTGGTTCTAACTTTTTACTTAGGCCGATCTTGTGCACTTAAGATGTGCACAAGATCGGCTTGTGAACAACTTAAGATTTTGTGAATTTATGAGGCTCTAATCTCCTGTAATGTTTCATGTTGATTGGTTGAATTGTTTCAAAGTTATGACTATTTTTGTGATGTTCAAAACAATCATAGGTTGGAAGGAGAAGGTGATTTGAGCAAAAAAAATAAATATTTTTGTTTTTCCCAAAAATTTGTATTCAAGGGTTTTCAGGGTGAAAAAAATGTGGATTTTCCTTGCATTACTCTTGATGTCTAATACCCTTCTCTAACCAGATTTAAAAAATTCCTGGGTGTTTCTTTTAATGCCAGATTATCTTGGGATGTATATTTAGGCTTTGTTGATAGAAGGTGAATGGGACTTTAAATTAACTTTGGAAAGACAAATTTTCAGTGGGGCAGTTATATTCGGATGGGCTCTACTCTGTTTGTCTGCAGTGTGGATGGCGAGTAAATTCCATCAGCAGTAACTATATGTGGCCACCACAAGTCCTGTCCATCATACTTATTCATTATATTCTATTTTAATTCTTAGATTAAATACATGAAAAGCTTGCATCGTAGATCCAAATCTATGAATGATTCATTTAGAGTTGCTGGGGCGGGGCACATCTGTGGAATTCGCTTCATGTCATATTAGGTTGGCCTGCCCCTTTGGGCTTTTAGGCGTGAAACTTTCAATTTTTTTGCAAACAACCTATGATTTGATCAAACTAGCATGATTTTGTTGCTATTCTCATTTTCTTTTCTCTTTTATACTCTTCCTTTATACCTATTTTTCTTCTTCATTTATATCCAACTATGATAATATCATATAAACTTTGTTTATTAATTATTACTCCTTGCATTATATTTTGCTTTTAATATACCTTTTTGTTATTTAATTATTTTATATTTTTCTACTCATTGTAAAGGAGCCAAACTCTGTTGTGAATTTTTTTAATATAAATATATTTCTATATTTCTATTTCTAATATCAACTTGGTTCTTTGCTTAAAAAAATTATCTTGCTTTGTTCGCTATGTCACAAATTAATAGTAATAATACTTTATTAAAACAGAAAAATACAATTGGTACAAAGTATAATAAGCATGGCTAGGAGCTGTCTGCTTTGGTCGCTTTGTAACAAATTTTGTATTTCAATATGAAACTCATTAATTCATGACCTAGGGTGCCAAAAGCTCATTTTACAAACTGACAAGTTTACTTTACTGATAAGCAGACAAAAAAATTGTTTTAGAAAAATGAGATTTGTTTTAAGCACAATTTAAAGCTCTTAAATGCTCATGTTTATAACAAACAAACAAAAATTGGACATTTTTTGGGCTGGATCAGACAGGGGTGAATTTTTGTACTCAACATCCGGTGTTCAACTTAAAAAATTTACAACCACTCTGGATTTTATCCAATCTGAATATTACTACTTTCAACCAGTGTCAGTTTTATGGCCTTATAAGTAAGAAAAATAAGGCAAAAATCAGCAAAAAACATCTCAAACATTTAATTTTATATCTCCTGTTCTAATTATTAGTGAAACCAAGTGTGTACCATTATGTGCAATTTATAGTTCTAGAAACCTATTAAAGTTTACTGGAGACCATTGAAATCTGAGAAAAATTGCAGGATCAAATCAAAGTTGAATTAAATTTATATTAAAAGAGTGGATATCATATATCAAAAGTTGCAAAAACCAAAAGATGCTATTAGTAAATAGGTTAAAGAATTTTTTTAAATTTGGTTCATTGTAAGCCACCCTTTAAAGCTCCTAAATACAAATTTTATAGCAAACTAAAAAGAGATATTTTTGGCTTGATTAGGTAACAATTTTTTTCTCTCCAATGTATGATTTTCCAATTAAAAATTCATAACTCCTCTGGATTTTTCCAAAGTCAAGGTTGTTTGTCCACAATCTTTGGATTGCTTGATTTCTCCTCCTTTGGATTGTGGTGGCCACCTGCAGTTACCATGGTCCCCTCTAGGTGTCACCCTCAGTTCTGGAATGGTCTCGCCCTCCACTCTGCAGCCAATCGGGGTAGAGCCATTTCGTATATAAGCAGGGGTACTGCCCCCACTGAATTCAGTCTTTTCCTCAACTAGATGTCCATCTTACTACACACCTTGAGTCTTGTCACTCGTCTACCCGACTCCCAGTCACTAAAAAAGTATGTCAGCAATGTTGATTTGTTATGTTATTAGAAGTGAAAAAAATAAGGATTAATTGTTAAAAACCTTCATCTGTTTAGGGATTGTCCAACTACCTTTTCTGTACTTCTTTGTATTTATAACTTTTCCTTACAGGTTCCATTGCAAAGAAGTGCAAACTTTAAAAGAAATATTAAAATTCCCTTTTTCCAAAATCATGGAAGCAAGGTCAAACCCATAAATACAGTCTCTATTCCCTCCTCTCCCAATGATTTCTGCCCCATTATCTCTAATCCTGCTAAACCTCTTGAAAAATTAGTTAATTCTCAAGTCTCCAAATATTTAGAATCCTCAAACCTACTTGCACCTCTCCAATCAAGCTTTCTATCTGGTTTCTCAATGAATTGGGCTATTTTAAATAATATACACTGGGCTCCCTTGTGCTTCCCCATTACAATTGGCGGTTTGTCTTCATGAACTCACCAGCCAGCTTGTGAACAGACTCAAGAGAATCATGAACTGTTTTCTCCAGTTCATATTTAGCTTCCTAAAGAAATCTCATGTGCCTTAACATGTATCATGGTTTGGAAATGGCTGTACCCCTCCTATCGCAGGCTTACTCTTGGCTCTAACAATTTCTTATGTTTCCTATATTTATATGTTAACATTTAAGTCTTTTATGCACACTTATTGTTATCGCCCTTCTTGATCTCTACCCCCTCATACAAATTTACCAGCTTTAGTTGCTTCTTCCTTATCCGTTCCTACAACCTCTGGAATTCCTTCCCTCACTCCATTCATCCTCAACCCTTTCCATTTTTAAGTCTCGTCTTTTTGATTACCTCCTGTCCCTCCAATTTAACAATGAGAATTGTTAATTTTCTGTTGTTTCGATATGTTTAATTTATGTTAATTTTTCTCCTTCTTATTTAATTTAGTACATTTATATATTCATTTTGATACAAATTATGTCAAATTTTGTAATTTTGTTTTTCAATGGGACTCACTCAAAGCTCTAGAATAAAACTGATTTTCTTCTTCTTGTTTTTCCTATGGTGATATTTTTCAGTTGAATAAGTAAGATTTAAATTATAAAAACTTGTCTTATTTATTCTAATTTTCGTTCAAGACTAATGCTCCATAATTTAAATATTGAGATTGATTTTTGTCATTTTGCAGGGAGTGGAAGAATCAGTAGTTCCTGTGCAGCATGATTTTAAATTAAAGGTAATCCAGTTGAAACACGATAATGACGACAATGTTTATTTTGGTGTAATCGATTCCGAGGAAGAGTCAGAAGAATCTGACGAGGAAAGTGTAATCACAGAAAACGAAGAATTAGTACTTAGCGATTCGTCAAATGAAGAACATCCCAGTCCAAATCATTATTACTACAAAAAATTCAATATCCCTACCTATAAAAAAAATGTTTTTATCGCTGAGAACCATTACAGTGAGTGGTTAAAAGAGCAATCGATAAAAAATTATAGACAGTTGTTTAACATAAAAGAAAAATCGCATTGTAAATATGATACAGAACATAATCTGGAAGAGAAGAAGAAAGAAATGTTTACTAAAAACAAACAAACAAATCAAGGAGAAGGATATACAAATTTACGAAATCAACACGATCTGAAATACAAATATATACCAGTGATAGCACGTTGTGATAGAATTGCCGGCCGTGATTTAGATGAACTTTATTTGGCTGAATTGACTCTTGCTCTTAGGGAAGCTCAAAAAGCTGCATTACGAGGCCAAGGAGTTAAGCGTGAAACACCGAAGCAAAAGAAAATGTTAGCTAAACTAATGAAGATATTTAAGTACGAGACAGATTCCCCAATGTTGTCATGTACGACTGCAAGTGCATCGCACACTAAACTCAAAGCAAAGGAAAAAATAATAAATCGGAGATTTGAAGCAAAACAAGAATCACTAACAACTTTCAAGGAACAGATTCATAACTACTTGTTTAACAGAATATATTCCGAAGGTCTTGATGATTTTTATGAGGAAGAATTAAATAAACGCGATGCAGGTCTCATGATGGACCCAGATGATAAATTTTCATATTCTTCATTATTGTATGAACCCCGTTATGAAGAGCCAAAAAGATATCACAGTTATCTTTATAGACGTTTAATAGTCGGCAGAGATTTTAGCAATGTGCCTTCAAAAACTATAAAGGGCTTGGAAAATCTCGGCATTCTCTATGAATCCACGTTATACGATCCTCCGAAGGACGGAATGTACAGGGGGAAACCAATTGTCGAAGTTAAGAAAAATTTTGACTCGCTGCCATCCATGAAAACTGGTTTTCCAAAAAGAAAAGCCAAGAAATCCATACTTATTCATTTAGAACCTGAAACAGATGATGCCAATACTCCTTCGTCACCCCAACCGTCGAAAAAGAAAAAAATCGTTGGTGGCTTGAAATCCCATAGGGATAGTCTTAAGAAGAAACAAAAACCCAAAAAAATGAAAGGGGAGAAAGGTGATAAAGATGCGGATGGCAAGCCTTTAAATAAAGACAAAAGCAGATCAGACGAAGACAATTCTAAATTATCAGAAAACATTAAACCATCTGAAAATGGTACGGATAAGATAAATCTGGAAGCTGCTGGAAGCATGGAAAATCTTACTAAAGGAAATGACAAGACCGTCTTAAAGGGCAGCCCTGAAAAGGTGATTCCTGAAGTACAACGCAAATCGATAAAAATTTTATCACCATTAAAAAAAAAATCTATATATGATGACAGACAAGATGTTATTGGAAGTGAAGAAATTCATAAATTGAAATCCGCATTAAAAGGATCCCCATCACCTGACAAAAAAATGTCATTTTACAAAAATAAAAATAAAAGTGTCGACGGATCATTTAAAGGATTACCAATGGATATGGATAGGTCTTCAAGGCCAGAGAGACCGAAAAACTTCACAGATAAAATGAGAGCTGCCGTAAGCCAAGAAGTAAAACCGCCCATAATAATTGAATTTGATCCTGTTGCAAATGGAGCTATAACAAAATCAATGGAGCAATTTGCAACATACTACAATACACCGCTTAATGAGATGTCCCGTCTTGCAGACGGAGTGATATTAATAGAGCCCGATGAGAAAAGAATTGAGACAAAGCTGAGGAAATCTACAACAAGGCGGCAAACCGAAGAATCCCAATTTTCAAAATCATCACCAAGGAGAAGTGACGATTCAGTTTCAATGAAAAGAAGCATTATGAGCAAAGATTAAATTTATTTAAATAGGCTGTATTTATTTAGTACAGCTAATTGAAATTTAAGAGCCCAATCGACTCTTCAAATGGTTTTTACATTCTCAATTTCTTTTAAAAATATGAAAAGCAAACACTGATGGGCGCCAAAAATTACATTGAAGTTGAGACCTACTTTTTAATTTACCTACAATTAAACAATTACAATTTACAAGACAAGTATACAACTACTACTTGGTAAACAATAAAATTAATCTCTTTCCTTATTAGTGTTCATTGTTTTATATATTATACTACCATATTATTATTGATATTTTTTTTAAAAATTATTTTGGCCTCACTCTGAGATATCTACCCGTAGTATGCTCAAGTGTGTCAAGCCTCACAACCAGCCAAAAACCCCACCCGCCAGGAGAGCCAAGCCACCCTTCACCGCCGTGAGGCCATCTCATACATAAAACCAATCATAGTGGGAAACTCACTACCTTGTCAAGCATATTAGGGAGATGTCGATAAAAACCTTACATACCATTAAGTGCTCCTAGAAAAGTCTACATTTCCCCCACAGCCCAGGGACAAAGCACCCAGAATGCGGAGACACTCCTCCCAAAGAAGCACCGACCGACCTGCAGCACCCGACAGGCAAGCCCCCAGCCAAGCGCAGCCAGACACACTTTTCCAAAGCTTAGATCTCCCTACCACAATCCTGAAGAAACCTATATAATATTTTGTACCCAAATGAAAGTTTTAATAACCTCTTCTAACTGAGTTAATCAGTCAAAAAAAAATTCTCTCCTTCTCGTAATCGAATAAAACAATGTGTTTTTCATGTTTTTCAGGAACTGGCTTCAAAATAACTTTCCTTTTAGCCCATATAGCTTGAAAGATGACGCACTGGCTGACTGATGCTCTATGGGAGCTGTTGCAATTTGGGCATTTTGTAGACACATGTGAGCCAGAGTTGTGGCAGGTGTTTGTGCTGTGGCCCAGTGCACAGATGCTGCACTTGGAGGGATGCAGCCACCCAAACCCTCCTGGCTGGGGTTTCTCAAACTGTAGAAACCAAAAATAAATAAATAAATAAAAAATAAAAACAGCCCGCCCTCCTAAGCCCATCAGGCACACCATCAGCCGACCCAACCAAGCAGAGCTCCAGATTGTTTCTTGTCTAGTAAATACTAGTTCTTACTATCGATTTATTATTTTTATTTGTTTATTTATTTAATTATTGTCATCAGTATAGTAGATCATATTTTATTTATTAAATTGGCTGCTGTCAAAAAGCTGAATAATTTGGCAATTTTTTTTGTTGTCCCCTAATATTTCATACTGTGTATTCGGGAGAGAATAAATTTTCTTAAGCCATGATAGATCCGACATAATAGTGAAATAAGTTTTGTTATTATTTCATTGCATGCTCGGCTTATAGGTGGACAATCACGGGCCATTAGGTGACCCTTGGTGATCCAGCAGTGTCCTATTCTCAGCCTACTCAATAGAACCTTGTCCCTTCTCTTCAACCTACACGATGACAGCCATGCCTGTGTAGTACACTTGATTTCATGAAGTTTGTTGTTTGTAACTGAATGCCAGGTTTTTTCCATTGTAAATACATTTTCTTCCTAAAGGCTGCAATAAGGTCATCCTTGCTTACTCCACAACAAGGTTTCATCTTCAACTTCCTCCTTGGCAGCTATATCAGCTCTATCATTGTCAGGGATACCCAAGTGACCATAGAAAAAAAAAACACTTTTCTCTTACTGCTAAAGACGTCTCAGTGAGTACAACAGATACTGTACCATAGGGTTATTGCTGTAAGGATGATTAAATGTTTGCAGGGCAGCCATAGACTCAGAACAAATAACCATTATTTGCCGTCTGGATAGAATAATGTTGAGGGATTTATCCGGTTATCATTTCGGCAATATAGTTGCTTGCTAGGGGATTTAGTGAAAATAAATATTTCCTTTTTCCCACAGATACTTGCACCACTACTTGCTACTGCAGCACCACCAGCACTTTTCTCTATTTTGACAGAACAACGACAGGTGACTGTAGTTTTGGCATAGATAGCACCTTAGGACTCTTACTTTATTTTTTGACTCTTACTTTATTTTTTAATTTCTCCCACCGGACCCGACAATGGCAGACAGCTTGGTACTTTTTTTGTCCTTGGCTGGAGTTCCTTCTTGAAAATAGACCTCAAAGGTTGGCAGCTTTCGGGCATTTCATCAGTTGAAGAAGCTTTTCTCACAAATGCCATTTTGTATCTCTTCTACCTTCACGATCAGTGGCAGTACTTATAACTCAGTCGCTTCTTTCAAGAATACGTGTGGAATGGAATCTTAGTTTTTGTTGGGTAAGCAAGAATCGTGTGATCCTGTTCACATTCGATACAGATGAGCACTCGGTCTCTCTTAACTTTGAATTCAAAGTTTCTTTTCAGCAGCGACTAAGTTTTTAGTCGATTGGCTCACATCCCGAAAGAGCGAGAGATCGACTATAGGTGGGATATGTCTCAATCCTGCAGGAGGAGCATTAATCCATGATGTTCTTTTTTTCTCTTCATCGTCAGTGTCAGAGAGACTAGCAAAGGAATTAAAGATACTTATTTTAAGTAGTATTACTTTGAGCGAATCGTCAATGTTGTAGAGATTAATAATTTTAGGGGAAAACTGAGTGAAGAAAGCAGGGAATTTTGTCGCTTGTTTACGGCAACACTTGTTGTAAACAAGTTGCATAGGATTGTGTTTTGTTTGGTCGTTTGCCGATTTATGTTTTCATCCGTACTCCGTAGTGTTTAGGCGAAACACTTGAGACTTGAAGGCGGTCGCAACTGATAGCAGTCTCTAAGAGGAAGAAAATCAACGTAAATCGATCTCGGACGAGGATAAAAGATTTTTTATTATTTTGTTGTAAAGTTTCCGTTCGGATGGCGACCAATGAACAAGTCGGCTTGAGCCGGACGTGGGAGCTGTCGCTGTACGAGCTGCACAGGACGCAGCAGGACGCGATAACTGACAACACGGAGATCGCAGTCTCGCCTCGGAGCCTCCACAGCGAGCTGATGTGTCCCATCTGCTTGGACATGCTGAAGAAGACGATGACGACGAAGGAGTGCTTGCATAGGTTCTGCTCAGATTGTATCATAACAGCTTTGAGGTCCGGTAACAAAGAGTGTCCCACATGCAGGAAGAAACTCATCTCGAAACGTTCCCTGAGGCCGGACCCGAATTTCGACCTGCTCATCTCGAAAATCTACCCCAGCCGGGACGAGTACGACGCTCACCAGGTGAGAGTCCTGGAAAAGCTCAACAAGAGCCACAGCCAGGCCGCTCTCATGAATTCCATCAACGAAGGGATCAAAGTGCAGACCCAGAACAGAATCCAGAGGTCGAAACGCGCCCACCTCGACTTGGACAACACGAGGAATTCGCAGGACGTCAACGACAATAAACAATTCTCCGAAAGCACGTCCATGACTTCCAGCCAAAGCAATCCGATCTCTGAAAGCTCTCATATCTCGTTTAGTCAGCCGCCTGAGATCATGAACGAAGATGCCAATGATGCCAGTTATCCCCAGAGGAACAAGCCGTACGGGTCTTCATCCTCGGACACAAACGATTCCGGAGAATCTAGCCTGGACGCTTCCTGCCAAGATTCAGCCACAGAGGGCGAATCTTCACAAATGTCTTCATTCGATGAAATTGAACTTGTCTTTAAGCCTCACCCCGTTGAAATGCCCAATGATTCTTCGCTCATCAAAGCACTCAAAGAGAACTCAACTCGATACATCAAAACCACGGCTAATGCATCAGGTAACACTTTTTTTATTTTACAACTGAATAGAAAATGTAACAAGCAAAATGGAAATTGACCTGAGTGATTTTTTTTTATCGGTATACTGCGCCAATTTACTAAAATTTTGGTTCTGGAAAAGGGGATTATAAACTCAATGCTGATCAGGGTGGTTGTAAAGCAGCCCAGTAAGGTGTCAATCAGCATAGAATCAGTTCTAGAATCGGTTGTAATTTGACATATCAAAGACATAATATATTCAAAATGGGAAGAAAGATGGGCAAACTTTGATCATATACATTGAGGTACTAAATAGCCAGGCAGCACAGAGGGTAATTACCGCATCAGTGGTCTATTTGTTTGGGAGTGCATTAGGGCCATCCATATCAGTCATTGGGGAAAACAAAATTACATTTGCCTTGGTACAGGGCACATGATAATTGATCAAGAAAGTTCGATGAGGATACCTATTGCCCCTGAACCCTTTTCTGGCATAGCAAACTACCAAAAGTGTGGAATTTAAAACCAATTTTTAGGTAGACACTAAAAGAAGAAAATTATTCACAAAAGTCTATCTCTGTCCTTTGTTCACCCCTAATTGTATGATTACTTGATGTCCTTGGTTGACCTTGTTTTGTCTACAAGGTCCTAAATTTTGTTGTTATTTTTTTTAGTGTGTTTTTACATGTTAGCCTGGGTACTCAGACTTGCTATTTTCACAATTGTAATTTATTTTTTTCAGTTGATCACCTTAGCAAATATTTGGCTACAAGGCTAGCCCTGGATTTGGGCTCAGAGATGCCAGACAGGAGTTTCAATTTCTCCATTCACATCGCCCCAGTCGTCGGTCAGTTTATTACGCTTACTGGTAACCAAACACTTAGGCAGGTTAATGAAAAGTACTGGAAAATCAACAAACCTTTGGAAATGTTTTACTCTTGGAAAAAGGCATAACTAAAAAAAAATTAAGGTAAATGATTACATCTAAATCGCTATTTAACACTATTAAAATAAAATGCTTCAATTTAACATGACAAATTTACAGAATGTAACAATTGAATTTAATAAAAATCTTGAAAATTAAAAACATTCAATACATTTTATTGGAAATGTTAATATAGGCTTGACAATCACTTACAAAAGCAATTGTAAGAATTATCTATTATATTTTTATAATATTTGATTAAATGTGTGCACACAGTTCTCCCATTAACAATTTGGGTTTTAATTAATGTGTTTAATTAAATGTATAATTTATTATTATTACTATTAAGTGTTCCTTTAACAAGCCCTTATACTTATAAATAATCTGGATCTGGAGTTTTTAACAGATGTTTCAGACTTCTTTGAATCTGTCATTACAGTCCTTGTATGGTGTAATAAAAATTAAATTCTTATGGGGGCATTGATGGCCGCAACTGTGTAGGCGTTAACACTATAAGTAAAGGTCCCGGTTTCGAATCCACCGGCCCCGCATCCGAACCTGGCATACTTACAAACGGACTTTTTTCAGCAACCCCCCGAGGGTTCATATAACGTCGTAGTAGTTGAAATACCCTCATTAAAAAATAAATAAAATAAAATAAAAAATAAACTCGCTCACACTTTTGTTCAGTTGTTGAACAAACTTCAATACTAACCCTAAATGGTAAAAAATATTGCACAATTTGTAATATTGAGCAATATAATTGATCCTCTAGGGCCCGCCTTACAGTGATGAGCACCGTGTCAGCACCTTAACCATTGCAGCCACTGATGTCCCTTCAAGAAGTTGAAAACTATCTATTAAATAATAATAAATCTATTAAAACTGAATTATGTCAATTTATAGACATGTTTGAAATCGTTTTGCCTTGATGATGACCTTAAAATTGGTCAAAAGCATGGAGTAGCAATTGAAATTTTTTTTTTTTTTTTCATTCGGACCATACTGAGATCCAGATTATTTGTGAGTAAAAGTGTATTAGTAAAGTGATAATTGTCTAGTCTATTCAATTTAGTATAGTTTTCTGTTATGGACCACTTATTTTCCTAATTTGTGTGTATATTATGCACAGATATTTCTCAAATATTGGTCAATTATTAAAGAGAGGTTAATAGTTTGGTTTTGATTTATATAGGCTTGACTAGCTAATATGATATTTTAAAATAGATGTTCCTGAATTGTGTTGTAAATATGGAATCGAAAATCGCTTAGCTTCTTGTTTTGTTTTTTTTGGAGATGAAAACCTGAATAGTATTACAGTAAAAATCGTTTATAAGAACATCCAAGAGACCATCTGAACTTGGGTTCTTAAGCCCGATAGTTGCTATATCCGGTAATCAATTTTTTTCTGTTTAATTATTGATCAATTTTTTGAAAGTTGAAGGCTCTTTCAGTCATTCCTCTGGAACTACTTTTAAGGGATTGAAATTAGCAATCCCATTTAGTAACAAGTTTGGAACTAAAAAGCGTTTGCAATTTCAAGCCCTGTTTAATTATCATTGTTTAGGTTTTAAGATAAAAAACAAAAAGATTAATCACAAAAATTTTATTTACTGCAAAACTGAAAAATAGTCTGTAATATTGGTTTGTTTATTTATTTATTTTATTTTTTTTAATGAATGTAAAAAGCATTTTCTGTAATGGTGACAAGTTCTTTCACTGTCATTTTCATAGATTCCTCTGCAAAATTGTCATTACATGTTAAAAATTTATTTACCACATTTATAGCTGAGAACATTCCCTTCAAAGTGGGGCATGAAAATTTGCTTGATTCATCTGTTATGGCATTGTCTTCTAAATCATTTTCTTCTGCTTTGACCCCTGCAACAATTTCTTCATCTGTGATGATTCCATGGGTAGTAAGACTCAAGTCTGCGTCTTCATATCCTTGAAGCAAACTGTTTTCAGTGGGCAAATTTGAGCCCAGTTTTGAAGTGTTTCATCCTGAAAGTCTTGGATTTGAAGAATATCAACAGCATTGTCAACCAAATCACTGACGAAGCCAGCATGCCGGAAGCAGTTTCTAATCGTTGAAGGCTTAACCTGATTCCAAGCCTTTTCGAGTATAATTATAGCATCCAGGACTGAAATCTTTGCTTCTTTCTCTTTTCAGTGTCGTCAATGATCCGTAGGATAAGTTGTTTTCTGAAGAGGACTTTCAAGGATTTTATGACACCTTGATCCATAGGCTGTAAAACCGACGTTGTGTTGAGAGGAAGAAAAGCTAATTTAATGGCTTGAAGACCTTTAACTGATGGGTGGGCAGGACAATTGTCAGCAACGTGGGCCAAACAGTTTCAAGCCAGTTTTCTGAAACTCCTGGTGGCACGGCGTTTGATTCTCCACTGATTTTTCCAAAAACAATGGAATGTCTTTGCCGAAATCTCTGGATCCATGAGGTTGAACATACTAAATCATTTTTATTAAAAAGTTTTGCAAAATCATTTGCTTTTGCTTGCAAAAATAGGTCCATTCAACGGAATGTTTGCACTCCTTTGAACCTTGAACCANACCTTGATCCATAGGCTGTAAAACCGACGTTGTGTTGAGAGGAAGAAAAGCTAATTTAATGGCTTGAAGACCTTTAACTGATGGGTGGGCAGGACAATTGTCAGCAACGTGGGCCAAACAGTTTCAAGCCAGTTTTCTGAAACTCCTGGTGGCACGGCGTTTGATTCTCCACTGATTTTTCCAAAAACAATGGAATGTCTTTGCCGAAATCTCTGGATCCATGAGGTTGAACATACAAAATCATTTTTATTAAAAAGTTTTGCAAAATCATTTGCTTTTGCTTGCAAAAATAGGTCCATTCAACGGAATGTTTGCACTCCTTTGAACCTTGAACCACTGCAACAGTGCTTCTTCGACATTACCATGAGAACTTTTACGAATTTTTTTTCTGCTGGTACGATCTTTTTCGAATTCATCTTTTAATTTTTGACGGTTCTTAAAAATGTTTGAAATGGTTGCATGACTCACCTTTAGTTCATTCGCCAAAGCTCCATTTTTTCTCCATTTTCCAAACGAGAAATTATATGGATTTTTAACTCCACCGTAAAGGTTTTTTTTTTTTTTTTTTTCGTTCATTGCACCGTCCTATTTGAACAACTGCAGAGAACTGAGAAAGAATGTGTAGCCAGAAGATAATGTAAAACACGACACAATCATTCGTATAAAATAATTGATTACATTTTGTAGAATATTTTGTCTGAACTCCTCTTTCGAGGGATTTATTTTCTCATGAAGTTCTTACAAAAGTTTGTTTTCTCAGAAATACATTAACTTTAGGTCACTAAAAGCGATATGTTCTTATAACCAGATATTTTATACATTAAGTTGCATTAAAGCTGGCTGGGAACTAGAAATTTCGTTCTTATAATCGATATGTTTTTACAACCAGTGTTCATTTAAACGATTTTTACTGTAATTTGTTTTGTTAACATTTTTTGGTGTTTCGGGTTGTTATTTCTTTCAACTCAAGTCTGTGATAATGTAAATGAATTAAGATTATACTCTTTCGCTTAGAGAAAGGTGTACTGGATGGGTCTTTAAAATATGGGATCGTATGGAAATAATACTTTTTAGTGCTGTAAGACCTTAAGTTGCAAATGAGATATTATTCAAATACTTTAGCATTTTTTAAAACCTGTAAAAATGTAAATGTTAAGAAAAATGTACTATAATGTTAGAATGGCTCACAAATATAATTATGATAGATGGCTCACATGTTAAAATATTTAATGGAAATGAAGATGGATTATGCTTTCAATATATATGGTGTAGACTATGGTTTTGATTGAAGACGTAAGACTAGGCCATCATTTATGAGAATAATGAAAATGATTTTTCGTTGTTTTAGTTGATACTATTTTTAAAATTAGAATTGTCTAGCTTAAACGTAGAAATAGATACAGCTGAAAATATTCACTTAAATTTATACTAAACAGCCAAATATTCTTTTTTATTTTCCAGCTATACTCTCCCTCTCTGTGTCATGTTCTATTAGATCATGAGCATGAAGCTGTATGAGATGGCAGCATTATTTTGGCGCGGCTCAGAATTCTGTCCTGTCATGATCTCAATGTCATCAGGGTATTCCGAACCTTAAAAATATACCAAAATATGCGGTACAGTCTTTTCCTAATTACCAAAAGTTGACGACAAAAAGAAAAACCTTCAAATATGATTAATCTACTGAAACTGAAAGTATTTAATAAAGTGACAAATTAATTAGCGTGGGGGGAAGAGTTACTGCGTTAATTACTGAGAAACTCATGCTTAACATGACATTTTCTAGGAATATCTTGTTCGATGTCCATAATAGCAACTGGTTTATTTGCTTAAGTTGTAAATTATGACTATTTTTTTTAATAATTTCAAACTGTTAAGTGTTGTTTTTACTAAAGTTATGATCTATTTAATACATACATGTAACTGTTATATAAAACTGCACAATTGTAAGCTGAAGACTGGAAAAAATGCCATGAATCTTGTTACTTTAATATTTTTTAAGTAATAACAAAAATTGAATCGGACTATTGTTTTGCCTGTTATTTGTTGAGCTTGATGCAAAATGAAATTATCGATTAACCTGCAAATTTAATTTACTTATATACATTTTGAATTGAAGCATGTTAGAAGGATATGAAAGTTTGAAGATGTTTTCAAGTATTTTTACAAGGAGAGATTGATTTTATAGAATTTTAAAAACAAAATGCCATTTATGTAAGAAAAATGTGGAAATTGATGTATCCATGAGTAATGCGCATTTTTTTTTCTTACTATGCCTCAAAAACTTAAGCCCACAAGTTTTACTACTTATTTTAAAACTTCCAAAAAAGGAGGTATTTCATTAACATCTACCTAAAATCAATTTTTTTAATGTAAAAAAAAACTGAAAAATATCAATGTTTAGCTTAACTAGTCAGAATAAATGCCTAGAATACTTAAAAACATGTACAATGATTGAGATTAATAATTATAGACATATGTGAACATGTTTCCGTTAGATCTGATACGTTACTGGACAAGTTGATAGCCAGAGCAATTTATAATTGTTGACTGATAATAAAACTAAATTATTATCGTGCTATTAGATGTTACATGAAAATACAAATGATATATTTAATGTATTATCTATAATTGGATGATATTAAAATTTATATAAATTATTATATATCTGTTTTGCAAATAAATGTCTATGTTCATTAAAACTTGTTTGTTTGTATTACCATTCTACTCAGGCAATATGCCATTATGCCACTGTCTTTCAAGCAGAGATTGTACCAAGGAATTTAAAAGGCTATGTATTGTTAATAGAAGAATAGCCATCTACTCAATCAAACAGCCGGGCGGCACTGAGGGCAATTACCATATCGGTGGTAAAGACTAGAATAGTTTGGGATTGCATTAGGACAACAAAATTACATTTGTCTGGGTACCAGGGCCCCAGAGCAAAAGGGTGATGAAGATTGGTCATCAGACAACAAGAATTAAGAATAAATCCTCCATTCAATGGGAATGTAGCAAAGGACAAAGTCATGCAAAAAAATTCATCAAAGGATCATTGTAACTAACGGCAGAACTACTAAATCTAGGACGAGTTAGGAATAGAATAAAAGTAAGACTATTAAGAAGAAGAAACAACAGAACATGTACTCTGTTGGTTCAAAGGCTCCTTGAGATTCCTACTCTTGGGAGAGGTAAGTCCAGGCCTGAAGGCAGAACTAGAATGTGATAGGAATGATAGATGGACTGCTGACTGGACACTGCAGACTCCAGAGGCATACCTATAGATTCAGGACAGCAGAAACAAGGCAACATATGGCCAGGAAGAAGAAGAGACAGAGGCACATGTCCTAGGTTGGTGCGAAGGCTTATGTAAACTGAGATTCCTACTACTGGGAGAGGAAAAGCCCAGGCCTGAAGGACACACATGGGAGTTCTTGAAAAAGCTTTGGGATCTGGTAAAAAAGCTGAGGAGCTCTAGACAATAGTGATGCACAATAGACAATGCACAATAGGTGCCAGGGTAGAATTAAAAGCAGGTAAAGGTTTTATTTTTATTCATATTTTTTCACTCAATTTTTAATAATCGCACTACAGTAAATTTCACCAATTCTTACAGATTACGTTCACCGAATCACCGGAGTCATTGAACAAGCCTTGATGCGGCTCATTTATTCAATAAAGCCTGACATGAAGATATTTAAAAAATAGAATTCCATTCAAGTATCAGAAAACAAAGAAAATACCAACTACGATGAGGAGAAACCATATTGAAACACCTCAAAGGATCGCAAAGTATAGGCTTAAGCGAAATGAAGACTAATCGGGACATGTGGACTTGAAATCCCTTAATCCAACGTGACAGTTTTTTTAAAATTAAATAACGTGATTTCAACTATGAGGATATATGAACCCTCGGGGTGCGAGGTTGTTTAGAGTAAGTAGCCATGTGTTTTATTATAGTATTTGTTAGATATTTTTCCAGTTCTTTTTTATGTGTATGAAGAGTGATGTGTAGTGAGGAGGAATATTGCAATACATCGACCCTCAATTAGATTAGTTAATATGCTAGTATGGGTTGTAAAATCAAGTCCGTAGTTTTTTTTTTTTTCTATCATGTGATTTGTATTTTCTGGAGTATTCAAGTGATGTCTTTATCATTAGTAGAATTTCGTAGAGCCTGGAATATGTGAAAATCGGAAGGAATGTCGTGGTTGGGATAGTACAGCTGAGCTCCTACTTCAGCATCTTCAAAGACATGCCTAAGGCTCTACAATTAGATTATTGGCCAATTTGCTTGCGTTACTCACTCCAGTGTGCAGTATATACTAGAATTAACATTTCAGTTTATATTAACTGAACTTTATATTTTGAGTCGCAACCTTTGCAGTATGTAAATTCATTCACTTATTTGGGCATACCTCTCAACTGTACGGGTAAATTCAATTTGGCAAGGAATAGTGCTCTTAATAAAAGTATACGAGCTCTTGAAAAGATAAAAGAAACACTTATTACAAATAATCCAACTTCCTAGCGATGAAAAGCTATTTGACTCAGTTGTTGCTGCATCTGCTTACTGTGCCGCTGAACCTTGGGCGGTAACACAGTTGGAAGGATTGGACAAATTTCACACCAGATATTAAAAACAGCTGTTCCATCCGCCTCACAATACTCTTGATCATTATATAAAACTTGAGTTTGGTCTTGAATCTCCTAGCACCTAAATTTTGATTAGGGTCATAAAATGGCTAAGTAGAGTGCTAGCTGCAGATGAAAAATCGTCTCTGAAAAGATCTTTTGAATCTGTTTAGTTCACAATGAGCTTTTCATCACCTCGTAAAGAATATGGTAAAAGCTTGTCCATTTCATGATATATTCTCATTCGGGTTTCGAACCTTTCCAATTTTTTTTTGTTATGTAAATGTGGTGGCTAAGCACAAAAGAGACATAATTGAGCACAATTTGGATATGTTAGGTTTAATATCTGATAGTCAGATGTTGGGTTCAACATCTAGATCTAGACAGCTTCGGTATTTAGTTTTTGTGGCTGTATACAGGGTGTCCTTTTTAGATGGCCCAGCTGAATTTCTCTTAAATCAATGACGCTATCCAAAAAAAATTGTTTAATATTTTTAGTCTATTTCAAATTTTTACCTTGTCTTCGAAAAAAATTATACAGGCTACTTCACGCCCAGTTTAACTTCAAATACGACCCTACACATCATTTTATAGCATTTTTACGCAGAAAACAATGGTGCAATCAGATTTTAAATTGGTCAAAAAATGTCCAAGTTATGGCAAAAAGAAACTGAGCTGAATATTTTATTGTAGGTTCGCGAAAAGGAAGGGAAGGGTTTTAGGTTTTTCAAAAAATAAAATTAGAGATGTACTCCGGATTTAAATTTTAAGCCGTATCGTTCTCATCTTGTCCAGGGACTTCGGGACTCTGATTATGACAGGTGTCTAACGTTCCTTGCACAAATATCAATTTGGGAGGCTGAAGAAAACGTTCTTCAACATATCCCATGAACTGTTGAATTAACTTCACCTCTAATGGTATACTAAACCGTTGGAATTTTCGAATGTGGTCAGAGAAAAATCCGAGAATTTCGTACTCTTGTTATTAGGTGGTTCACAGTATTATCGTTTGGTGTGGACTTCTTGTAAATAAATTAATTGGGCATTATTACTACGAAAATAATTTAAGTGGTGCTCAATTCCTCAATTTTTTAGGGTTTCCCAACACTATTAGATGATGTTCCACTGCAACAACGACAAAGAGTGATTTTCAAGCTTGATGGAGGTGAGATGTATTTGAATCGTCACTTCCGGGATGGATGGATAGGACCCCATGGCCCGATGTGTCGGTCACCCGATTTAACTCCACTAGACTATTTTCTGTGGGACCATTTAAAAAACAGTATCTGCGCCAATAAAAACCCAGCAACTTCAGTTGAAGAACTAAGCAAAGGATAGAAAATGTATGTCAATCCATCTCCCCTGACTCTATCGCTCTGAGCACCGGTTAAGAGGGGTTAAAAAGATCAAATCTTTGTATTTTTAGGCGAGGCAGGCAGTTCGATCATGAAATGTGATTAATAAATAGCAAACCAAACGATTTTTGTTAAACTTTTTGCCATAACTTTGTCGTTGTTTGACCAATTTAAAATCCGATTGAACCATTGTTTTTAGCGTAAAAAATTCTCCAAAACGATATGTCAGGATGTGTCGGGTACTATTTGAAATTATGAAGTTGAACTGGGCCTAAGTTACTCTCTATAATTTTTCTCTAAAAAAGTAAAAATTTGAAACTAGACTAAAAAATATTAAACAACAGTTTTTTTGATAGCGTCATTGGTTCAAGAGAAATTCAGCCGGGCCATCTAAAAAAAGACACCCTGTAAACAGAAAATCAGGATTCGCGTAGGTAAGTTGTAGCAAATGGAAGAACATGTTTTGCTTTTTTAACGAGCGTTGAACGAACGTTTTCCAGAGGGTGCCAAAAATGTGGGTAAGTATCGGACTCGAAAGTAGATTTCAAGGTGGAGTATGTGGTAATGTCTATCAAACATTCGTATTTACTTGAAGATAGACTGGTTGGCTTTGTGGAAACTGAAAACGGTGTGACCACCCATTCACGGTCTTGCAGCATTGTATCTCGACCTGTGGGAAGTAGTAGTAGTATCTACAAACTTCGAAGGTGTTCCCATATTTCATCAATCCACACAGCAAGCTCCAGTTTGCTTTTTGTTTTTTATAAATCATTTAACACAGGAAAACATTCCACCCCTTCCTCCTCAACAGATTCAACCATTTCAACCCAAAAGTGGATTTTTTTGCAAGCTAAAAATTTGTCATTAGCATCGAAACTCTTACCTTACAAAGAAAGACTCAGCTCATTCATTTTCATGAAATCTGACAAATACAACAGTTTACATTGCCATTTCTTATCATTGAGTCAATTTGATCTTTGTATAATAAATAAACGTTACTCGGAGCACGTTTCTCAATTGTGATGGTTTGGCTGAGTGGAACGCTCGTCCGTCAGGCCACATGCGGTTTTGGTTCGTTCTACTTAAACCACTGCTGCCTATAGTAAAGTACACAAATGAAGTTTGTACTTCCTACCTTAACATCAGCAAAACCAATTCTTATTTTTGGCGACTATAATGAATCAGTAGTTTTGTAACTATAACCGATTCAGTAATTTTTGCGACTATAGAGTATTAGCGTAGTTTTGGCGTCTATTGACTGTTAGGGCCTCCAAAACAGATGTGAAAATGGACGCCACAAATTCCTGAAATCTCCTGACTTTTTTGTAAATCCTAACGCCCATTATTTATATGTCCATTTTATACTCTCTAGACCCGCCCGGCACTAATAAAAACAAAGTGTGAAAGTTTCATCGAAATGGGTTCAATAGTTTTTATGAATAAATAATAAATAAATGAATAAAAGAAGAATGAATGAATGAGGAATGCATAAATAAAAAACTTTTGTTTGCAATACTCATTCTTATTAGTTTTTAATTTTACTTATCCATTCTACTTTATTTTTAGTTATAAATTTTTTTCGAAGTTCGCCAGGGACCCTCTAGTTAGGGTCGGCGTACCCCCAAGGAGTCCGCGGAATACAGCTTGGGAAGTCCCATTAAACCAAACGCTCGAATTTGGTCATCATCATTGGTCAGAGCCAACCACGTATG